CAAGCTAACTCATTTTTATACGATACCGACTTGGAAATCCGTACATCTGCTGCTCCAGATATCAGGATACCAGTTCACGGCTGGCTTTTCTCTGGGCGAAGTACTATACTTCGCACAGCCTTGTCCGATTTTCGTTTCCAGGGCTCCCATACCCCTTCAGAATCATTTACGATAGAAAATGTTGGCGATAAGACGGTGCTAACCCTGCTCCACGCTGACATCTACACGATGCTGAATATCGTGGTATATATGTACCAAGATAACATCTTACCCGTATGGAAATACACACGTGAAGCTCCGTCACTAGCTCATCGTTTTCGTCAAGTTCGAACAGATCTAATGAAACTTGCTACGAGGCTCAACATGCCGAAGCTTGAGGCCGCGGCTCGGCTGCAGGCCGGCCTAGAAAGAACACTTGATATAGATCTGCAAGAAGCAATAAGCGACCCCGTATTTTTTGATGACGGCGATGTCATATTGGAGTTAGACGGAGACGAAGTTACTGTTCACAGCCATCTTCTGTGCCAGCGATGCCCGTTTTTCGACGGGATGTTCAACGGCAGATCACAAGGACAGTGGCTGGCTGATCGACGTTTCTCAACGGAGCAGGCTGAACCAATTCGAGTTGATCTGAAACACATTCACCCAGAGACATTCTCATACGTACTCACATTCTTATATGGGGACGTAGGCGAGAAAATGTTTGACGATGTGATGGCTGCATCCCTTGATGAGTTCTCAGAACTGGTTCTGGATGTGCTTAGTGTAGCCAACGAACTCATGATAGACCGACTATCGCAAATATGCCAGTCTTTGATCGGCAAGTTTGTGACAAACCGAAACATTTCTAACCTTCTCAACGAAATTAGCCCGTGTTCAGTCGCAGAGTTCAAGAATACCGGGCTAGAATACATTTGCCTACAGCTCGAATCTGTGCTTGAAAATCACTACCTGGATAGCCTCGACGAAGAACTCCTACATGAGCTTGATGATATAATCCGAGATAACCAGCTTGCATGTTTTCCGTTTGCAAAGAGCGGGAGAGCAGAATTGCTTCTTCATGAAAAATATCCTGATCTAGCCGCGGACATTGAAGAAGAGAGGCGACGCCGTGTCAAGGAGATGGCCTTCAAACAGGCACAGAGAGAAGAAGAGAGAAGGGCGTCATCTTCATGCAAACCTCGATTTGGAAGCTTAGATGACTCTGCTCGAGGGTCGGAAAACCCAGAGAAATCTAATAGACAACCCAAGATTGGTCGGAACGAGCCATTTAGTCCAGCCCTGCGGCCCAAGGATTCTATCGCCGATATGATCTTTGATATGGAAGATGAAGGGCCTTCGGGAGGAAGCAATCTCATGTCCCCGCAGCTATCACCGCCTCTTGCACGTACCGACATTGACGTTGGAGCGATATCGAAGCTTCCGGCCGAATGGAAGAGATCGAAAGGCAAGGAAAAGGCGGAGTCACTCCAGTCACCTGATTCGAGCCTACCCTCTCGCCAACAACCGAACCTCGAATCGGTACTGCCAATTTCTAAAGAGGCTAAACAAAGCTTGGAATCTCCATACTCTGAACCCAACGCCCCGTGGGCTTCTGCGGCGTTACCTACCACTAAACTGGATATGAAAGACATCATGTCTGAAGCCTCAGGGAAGTCGGCATTAACAGCTGCTTTATCAGCACAAAAGACAAAGGATTCGGCGGGCAAACCACTTTCTAAAATGTCCCAGAAGGAACGCAAGAAGCAGTTGCAGATACAGCTAGATGCGCAGATGGCAGCTCAAGAAGAGCAGGCCAAAGCAATCCCATGGGAAACGGCATCACCATCAAATAAGAAGCAGCCGCCGTGGAAACCGGCAGTACCTACTCCAAAAACCTCATTACAGCAGGCTATGGCATCTGATGCTGCACAGCGAAGTGCGATATCTACAAATGCTAAGCCACTAGTTGCGTCGGAATCTGATCCTCGATCCGCGCAAAGACGGACGGCGTCCCCTGACACTCGATTCCCCGGACAGGGGCGCCCTGGCAACCCGCCATCTCAAACAAGGCCAGGAGTGGACAAACCACTGAGCAGACCTCTGGTGCCCCACTCAAAGTCCTACATTAAACCCGCGCCAAAGACGGAGCCAACTCTGGGAGTAAGCATGGCCGATATTATCGGACAACAACAGAGAGAGCAAGAGATGGTCAAGGAGGCTGTGGCAAAGCGGTCACTTCAGGAGATTCAAGAAGAACAAGCCTTCCAAGAGTGGTGGGACCAGGAGAGCCGTCGTGCGCAGGAAGAGGAGGCTAGACGGCATGCTAAGGCCAAAGGCACGGGGAAAGCAAAGGAAGAGGAGGGAGAAGGAAGACGTAACCGCCGGGGAAGAGGAGGCAAGGCCCGAAGCAACAACGAGCCGCCAAAAACCCAGCAGGCAGACGTTGAAGGATCAAATTCCAAAGAAGCAGCTAAGACTGGCGGTAATACATCTCGGGGCAGAGGTAGAAACAGAGGTAAAGGGAAAGCGACCAGTGGCGGGATGTGAGTTTTTCGTTCTTGTTTGGGCTTACCTGGCGCATTGGACGGTTACATGGTCGATTAATACTTAGATATCCCACTACTCCGGTGCATTTTCTCGTAGTACTACCTTGTATTAGCAATATCAAGCATGATCTGACACGCTTTTTGTGTTACTGCCAATGGCTGCAGACTTCCTGGCCACGGGAGCAAACCTGCAGGAAGGAGAACCAGCGCTAAGTCGCATTCATATTGTCAAACGCTGTGCATGAATCCCGAGAGCAGGAGAATGGCGGAGAACGGGCCAGTTCATTAGAAGTGCCAGCGCATCTTGCTGGGTGACACCAGCCATTCAGAAGCCTTGGAGCCTCACCGACATAATTTTAGGGCCCTCAGCAAATGGCTTTGCGCGTTGCAAGCCCTGATTCTGTTCTGTGTCTTACAAACACTGGGTATGTCATGTGCGTATATTTGACACTATGGACTTCCAATGTTCAATGCCATGAGGAGGGTCGATAATTCCTTCTGGTAGGCCCTCGCAGGAGGCTGCGTTTTCCCTGGCTGATGTCCAGCCATTGCCACAATCCTTGCGTGCTCAACACCTAGGATTTGTTAATCTCCATGTCTCACCCGTGCTAAGCAAGCCTCGATTGATCTGATCCAGCCCAGCCCTTTCCGGCTAGCCGAGCACTTGCGTTGCGTTGAATCAAATGGAGTGCATGTCCGATGTCCACATCGAGTGCTCCGTGCTCTCTTGCGCTGTAGCACCGCCTGTCGCCGCTACCAGGCGCGCAGGCATGGTTATGCCAGGTACCGCGGCAGCAGCGTGTGCCCGGAGATCATGGTGATGTGACTCTGACAATGGCGCGATAACGGCACCTCCCCACAGCTTCGAGAGGTGCTCGCTCGCTATCAAATGCTTGGTGCGTGGTAGCGCCAGGCCAATCGACTTGCCGCCCTGCAGCGAGCGTTTCTTGGGCTCAGCGGTGTGTCGGCATCCGCTGGGGAGGCGCTGGGTGGCTTGCGCCAGAGGTTCCGAGGAGGTACCCAGCTTCAGAGAAGCTACACAAGGTACTTTGATCTCTACTCTACTGACAGTCATCTGTTCTAGATAAGCGATGCATTTATAACTACTAGGTAGTAGTACCTAGTATACACACAAGTGCCTCTCTGTAATAGGTACTAGCTAGGTAGTTAATGATGTTCATAGCTTGGTCCTAAGGCATGCCCTACTGATGCTTTCTATGGCTTATATGAAGCACGAGACCAATAACTGGAGCTGACATGAGTCGGCGCGGTATCGGTACCTGGGCAGTTGGAGCACAGTAGTATATTGCTCGGCGCTACAGCTCAGCACTCAATTAGTAGGTCCAATAATAGGTAGGAGGCAGGTAGGTAGAGCTTTTAAAAGCGCCAGCCCTAGGTACGCTCCAGGCCTGCTAACCTGATACGCTGCCCCTGGTATCATTGCTGCGCTGAGTACCTCGCAGGTACTTGCCCGTGCTGTGACATACTACCGCTAAACCGGCTTTCATGGCCTCTCCACCAACGTCGTTCCGTCCCCCGGCTCTCACAAAACCTTATCAGCAACCCATCAATCTCGCGGGCGAGCAACAACAGCATCCTCACTCTTCCATCTCACCTCCGAGGCCCCAAGTCTCCCATCTCCCACCCCTTCAGATCTCACCGCTGGCCAAGGGCCTTCCAGCCTGCGTTTGGCATCGACAAGGGCGCTGCTGCCCAGTTGCACGCTGCTCGTTGGCCGATGACGAACACCCCCGTCCCCTGGCGCTGCTATCACGGGGTCCCTGGGTCGGACGAGTGCCGGGGCGAGTGACTCTGCCTGCTAAAAGGGAGCTCGCGTCCTGTGACGATACCCGTCTCCACAGACTTTATCGATTCGATCCCGGGCTCGCTGCTCTTGCTGGAATCTAGAACTGCTTCTGCTGGCGGGTCGCAACGCCTTTGTCTTCACTGCTTTGCAGATAATTTGTAGCGTCCTTTTGCCCAATCCATTCATCTAGACCTGTGCATCTGCATCTGCGCTGGCTGCCTGACTGCCGAGCAAGACCCCATCAAGGTCCTTCTTTTTCCCATCTTCCCCTCTGCTGCCTGGCGAGTTAGCCAAGGTTGCCTCGTTCGCGGGCCTCGATTGACCAGTCATCGGCCTCAGTTGGCATTTGGCTGCACCGCATTCGAGGGCCGCCAGAATTAGGTCGGATTGCTTGCCTTGCTGCCCATATCTGCTCGACTTGAGGCGCCCGTCTGCCGCATCGAGAGCGGACGAACGACACATCCCATCGACAACTCCCGGAACCTCAACTCCCACGCCTACGACATGGAAGAGCAGTCTCAGTTCCAGACCGACACCCCTATCCGAATTTGATCGATCGCCTTCCGATTCTCTCTCTCCACGTCCTTCTTGGAAACATTCGGTTTCGGGAGCCGATAAAAGACGCTATTCCCTCTCCTCTCCCCTCTCCTCCTCTTTGATCAAAAATGCACCAGCAAGCCCGAGTACCTCCGAGACTTGCCTCGCCGGCAAGATCGCCGATGCGATCGGGTAGCCTGAGAGACGGTGTATCAGGATCTCGGCCACGAGCGGGATCGAATCTGTCGACCAGGGATTATACGAGCTCGCCGATGATGGAGCAAGGAGAGCTGCCGCCGGAGCGAGGAGGAGGGCTGCCGGACCAAGGAGGGTTGCCGGCCGCATCAGTAAGAAAGCTGGATCAAATAGTCCAGGTAGGTTGGATAAACGCTTCTCCTAGTGGGCAATGGCCTAACGTGAAATGTTGTTGATAGAACTTCCACACCAAAATCGCTGCTGTCGTCGTCGCTTCGCGTATGAAGGTAAAGCCAGTTTACGGTACTAACGGAGTGCCAAAAATCAATAAATGGGTATGATTCAACTCGTTGTATCAGACGGGAGAATTGATGGGCTGACTATTGTGCAACTGCAGTTCCAACTTGAAACCGAGGAGATTGACGAGTTTAAAGAAGAGCTGGGGATATGGAAGAACCGTGGTAGCCTCGAGAATCACCCGCCACCGATGGTTATTGAAATCTATCTCGATGCGTCAAGTCTAAAAGAGAGCCAGAGCCTCGTTATTATCGATGAGGATGGAAAGCGGTGGGATGTTCTGGAGCAGCTCACTTCATCTACGTCGTCAAGTGGCAGCGGTTCCCTCACCACGGTGAGAAGGCCTACTGAGGTAATACTCGAACGGTGGCGGGTGGAACTGAAGACGACACCCGACAGGCCATTGGACGACTTTGGACCAATCTTACCGACCATTTACAAAAAGGCCATCGTCTTCTTCCGATCTCTCTTTGTAGCTACCAAGTTATTACCGGCCTGGAAGTTTGCTAGCCAAAGCGCCGCCAAGAACTCTCACCCTGCTCTAATTCCTCGATGCAGGATCCATATACCAGACTCTGATAGACCAAGGCCTGACCTACTGAAGAATCCCATAGATGGAAGGCGGGACGCAGTTACGGAGTACATGTTTGGTGATCTCGAGGTGCCGGTGGGACGGCTATGCACCAGCGTCATTTATCGAAACGATTGCACATTCCGCGTTGACGACTCAGAGTCACTTCTAAGCTCCCGCTTCATGGGAGTTGACGAGAATTTTTTCAAACCATCATTACCACAACGGCACATAGCTGAGGTTGGTTCGCTGAAGGACCACCGCCGGGGGGTGAGTATGAACGATGTCCAACAAACTTATGGTAGTTTATCAACTTTCCATGGTGATGGACCGATTGGCACGAGCCCCATATCTGCACTTCGCGCTGTCAAGCCGCCTGGTTCAGACACGAGCTCCCCTCCGGCATCACTGCCTCGCCAAACCGATACTGGGGTGGCTCCTCATTCACTGCCAATATCTGGAGGGCGAGCATCTGCGGCGCGGCCTACGGTCCGTGTTGGGGAAGATCGAAGAAGGCCATCTATATCTTTCCAACCATTTAAGGCCGGCTCACTCTCTGGATCTCCTGTTCCCCGACAAAGTGAGCCAGTGTCGCCTGCATCACTTACTAGACCTAGTTTATCTTCGCTCCGACAGCCAGGAAACCGATCCTCATTGACCGCGGGTATGCCAGCTTCCCTTCGCGGTGGGCCGGCTGCGGTAAATACTACCGATTCCCCTATAACAGGATCTCCGCGACCGGCATCCGCCAGTCGATATAGCAGCAGTTTTACGCATCGGAAAGGACGTTTATCGATTGGAGCCACGAGCCGGGCAGGCGATGAAGAACAGGGCAGCAGTGGAAGGCAGAGCCTGGCTTCGTCAATTGTGCAACCCGGCTCTGGATTTCTTGCCGAGGTCGGGGCTGGGAGCTATAGCTCTCTCCAGACTGATGAAGATGATATATCCGACTTCCTAAAGGCTCTAGATAGCAAAAAGGTGCTCAAGTCATTTGAACCGACAAAGAAGGGAGAGTCGGCCACGAGCAGGACAGTAGCTCAGCTGTCCAAATTCCATATGATGAAGGACTCGAATAATGCCCTTACAGAGTCAATGACATCCTCTATGCAGCTCAACCGCTCCTCGACCGTTTCCAGCAGACAGCTCAACAATTTTGCTGGCATTAGTGGACCGATTTCAGTATCTACATCTACCTCTCCTGGGAAGCCGGTGTCACCGCACACGCCACACACCCCTGCGATACCGTCTCGCTTGAGCGAGAACTCGATTATTGACTATGCCCCACCCTACAAGAGGGTAGAGCCGCCAGCACGAGAGTCGCCGTCGTCCAAGGCTACTGGATCTCAGAGACAAGGCACCATGACTCAAGATGGCACGACTGCAATTGACATTCCCCTGTCTCCTAGGCTAGGCACATACCACCGCCGATCCAGCTCAGTTGCTCAGCAGGTTCGAGCTATAACTGACGATGAAGAGACCGATTTGCCATTCGCCACACATCGAAGCATTAGTCTCGGAGCAAACGACAGAGAACCGCCAACCTTGAGCACTCTTCTCGGCCAACAGTTGGAAAGGGAGTGCTCCGGACAGCAGGAAGGCGCATCTACCGCGCTTCGCCCAACAGCCGAAATTCCGATTCCCGAGTCATCGGAGATGATTCAGCGAGGCTCAGCGAGTGATACACCACCAGATGGCTTTATTTCAGCCTCCCAGTCAAGCTCTTCCTTTCAGCGACGGCGGTATGCCGGCATGACTGGTGGCCGCCGAAACACGCCTCGAGGCAGCTTCAATGGGTCGACTAGTAGGCTTGGCCGTCCAGATGAAGAAGCTGTTGGTGAAGAGCCGTTGGTATTCACTCTTTCTGAGATGGATGCAATGGGAAGGCGAAGTTTAGAAGAGCGTCGCGGAAGCGGTGCCGCGTCCAATGATCGACCAACCTTTGAGCCACGAGGTGTAACTCGAAGAGGATGGGCAGAGTGATTTGTTTAAACTCATCAACTTTTTTTTTCCTTTTCCCTTTTTTTTTCTCTTTTTACTTTTGGCTTCTGCAAACTAAAGATTGGTTGATTGATCGATTTATTACACAGATTGGCTGATAGATTCATCATCTTGCTGAACCCTCCTCCCAGAGCTGAGGGGGGTTTCAAGATAACGTTTTGTTTTAATGATTCATTTGGATACTTGGGCCTGAGCTGGCGGCGTTGATTTGGTCCTTCTCATAAAATTGCCTTTTTTCTTCTTCTTGCTTTCTTTCTCTGGCTGATCTTCTGTTGGATATTGGTAACAAGGAAGCCACCTCAATGGCACGGATATCTGGAGTTACTCTTCATTTTCTTGTCACCTTTTATTTCTCTTTTTACTCATCTCCGTCTTTTCAGTTGTACCTGCTCTCCTACTCTACACATTATTGTTTTTGCTTGTGAGCGGTTTGTTTTATTTCTGCTGTGTTGTTACTAGTACTATTACCACCTCCCTCCGGGGAAGGGATCTGGCCTGAAGGAGAGCCTGTGTATATATCAGCAGGTAAAGGTTGAATGATATGGTTTGGGCAGGTGTTGGTTGGATCTACTGTGAGTGCAGCACTGGAGAATATACGGCGGCCTCAAGGCAGCGTACGAAGTAGATGACGTTATGGAAAGGCTGGGATATGGGGTGCTATGTTTGCTTATTACTTGGTAGTATGCAGTTCATCACCCTTTCTGTAGTCGGATGGCATCACTCTGTGCCAGGGTATGTAGCTATCTGTTTAATATCCAAGTGGTTGCATACTTGAAAACGTACGTATATGCAGCCGTCTTTCTCATTGCGCATAATACTTGCACCTATAGCTAAGACTGTTGTACTGAGGCGACGTTGCGGCGGCGTTACAGCAGCCCTATGGCAGGTCTAGCTACTAGGTACTAACCCAGTAGTGCTAATACTGCCTGGCCTGTCTTTGGGCACGAATATTGCATGGGGCGGGATGACGAGATAGGCAGGGAAGCGCAGGCCGCTTGGGCGTGGCGACAGCGTGGCGCGCGGCCAGCCACGTCATGGCGGTGCTGAGTCTCGTCCACAGCCAGGAGGGACAGGCAGGACAAGGCACAGGCAGGACAAGGCACAGGCAGGACAAGGGCCGTCAGCTCGTTTTCAGCGACGCCAAGGTGACACCTACCTAGTAGTGCTATAGGCAGTGTAGGTAGTAGTTTATTCCTGCGCATGTTCTTTGTAGGGAGCAGTACGGAGTATTGTTGGCATTGAATACAGCCCTACCGCACAGACGTGATAAGAGGCACCAAACGCCAAGCAGTTAAAAAGACGTAAAAGGTAATACCAATGTGCGCTACGCTGCTCTCTATACAGAGATTTGCAATCCTGCTTCAGTACTCTCTTTTTTATTTTTCCTCTCCTGCGGGTGCAACTACCCGAAAGCCTCGCTGCGGATGACGAAGTTGCCTGCATGTAGAAGGAACACCTCAGAGCCTGTGCACCTAAAAACGGGCGGCGTAACTCCACACCTTTAAACTTGTACTTAAGGTATGCTGAGTACTTGCATGCATGTGCGCACTGGGTGGCTTAGCCAGCAACTCGCAGGTACCCTTTGTCGAACTTGACTCGGCCAGCAGCTCCGCGATCTTCCCTTTGCATCCTCAACATCCTGTCGTTTTCTCTGCTTCATTTTATATCGACAAGCAGCAGCTGTTTCTTCCCTGAAGGCGCCGCGATTTCCATCCGACGACAGCCCAAATCCCGTGCGACCGCTTTAGCCTCAGCGCTCGTTCCGCCCTCAGCTTTCGTCATACCTCTGTCTTCGTATCCACCACCATGTTCCGAGCAGCGGCGGCTGGGCCGTTCGACGAAGTCGTCAGTGAGTATCCTGCGAGCCCGTGGGAGAAACATCGCAACGGAAGCCGAGTCGTGTTTCTCTCCTTCTTTGTTATCCTCGCTCTCCTTTGTGCGCTTGCTAACGCCCGCCGTAGCCAAGGCGACTGACGAGAATCTGACGTCGGAGGACTGGGGTGCCATCATCGAAGTATGCGATAAGGTGTCTGGCGACCCGAATGGCGCCAAGGAGGCTGTCCAGAGCATGATCAAGAGACTTGCTCATCGCAACGCCAATGTGCAGCTTTACACTCTTGAGGTTTGTCTTTCCTTTTGGCTGTCTCGCGAAAGGCGGCAATTCCCCCGCTCTCGTCGCTGTTCCGCGGGCAAGTAGCTAACTAATACCCTCTCTCCTACCAGCTTGCGCACGCCCTCTGCCAAAACTGCGGGAAGCAGATGCATCGCGAAATCTCCAGCCGCGCCTTTACTGAGGCCTTGTTAAAACTCGCCAACGACCGAAACACTCACCAGCAAGTCAAGAGCAAGATCTTGGAGAAGATGCAGGAGTGGACCGACATGTTCAGCAGCGACGCCGACTTGGGTATCATGAGCGACGCATTCCACAGGTTGAAGCAGACCAACCCTTCGCTGCAGCCGCCCAGTGCGCCCCAAAAACAGGGCCTGACCGATCAAGACAGACAGAAGGAGGACGACGAGCTGCAGATCGCCTTGAAGCTCAGCTTGCAGGACGAGGAACAGAAGAAGGCGGCTCAGGCGGCGTCAAGCTCGCATGTGGGATCCGGCAGCCAGCAGCAGCAGCAGAATGCTCCTACTTCCACCGCTGTGCCGTCGGGCACTACAGCTGCTACTGTGAGCAGAGTGCGTGCTCTGTTCGACTTTGAGCCCACCGAGCCCGGCGAGCTGGAGTTCAAAAAGGGCGACGTCATCGCTGTGCTAGAGAGTGTGTACAAGGACTGGTGGCGCGGGTCGCTCAAGGGAAAGACGGGCATTTTCCCCCTCAACTACGTAGAGAAGCTGACGGATCCCACGCCGGAGGAGATGCAGCGAGAGGCCCAGATGGAGGCTGAGGTTTTCGCTGAGATCAAGAATGTGGAGAAACTCTTGACGCTCCTGAGCGCTTCGAACATGGGACCACGGGAAGAGGACAATGAGGAGATCTCGGTATGTGAAGTTGTGCAAGGGATTAGGCACAATCGTCTTAATAATAAATGCGTGCATTATGGAGTCGCTAACTATCTCAAACCCAGAAATTATACCACCAGACGCTTGCGATCCGTCCAAAGTTAATTAAACTGATTGAAAAGTATTCGCAAAAGAAAGGTAATGAAGCCACGGATGTCCGAGCCTTTCCCCTTTTCTCAATCACATAGCAGCATCGCTAACAACAAATGGAACAGATGATTTCACCCAGCTAAACGAAAAATTCATCAAGGCTCGAAGAGACTACGAATCTTTATTAGAAACCTCCATGTCTCATCCTCCTCAGCACAACTATCAGCAATACGCTATGCGCCCGGGGCATCAAGCTTATCCTCCACCCGCAGGCACATACCCGCCTCAGGGGCAGGACCCTCAGAGATTCTACACTCCTGGTTCTCAAGGTTCGATTTATCTCCCGTGTCTAATTACTTATGGAAGCGAGAATATGTCAATTCAGTTGCTAACCGTTGGTATAAGGCCGGCCACAGTACCCGCAGACTTCTTCCCCACCTCCTAACTTCCCACAGCCTGGTGCGCCTGCACAGGGCTCTTCGCATCCTGCACCAGCGCCGTTTTACGTTGCAGGTGTCGAGACTCCTGCAGGCCAGCCACCTGCAGGTCAACAATATCCACCGAGAGACAACGCTCCTGGAATCCCCTCTAATGCCAGTCAACCCCCTCCTCTCAAAACCACAACCTCACCACCACCACCTCAAAATTTCAACCCCTTTCAACAGCCTCCCAATCAGCAGCCTCCAAGCACCTACGGTGCTCAGGAACTAGCTACTTCCGTATATGACTCTCCCATTGCTCCCAACAATCCCAGCTCTGCTACTACATTCGCCAGCTCTGTCTATTCCCAGGATGGCCCTGCTGTTCCCCACCCGAACGATAATGAGCCCATAGCTCCTTATTCTACGCAGCAGCAGCCGTCGTATCAAAGTTACCAACCTCCTCAGCAGCCTCCCTCTCAGCAGCCCCAGAATGTCATGACCCCTCCGCCGTTGCAGCCCTCGGGGCCCAGCTACGATAGTCGCCAGAACCTACCTAGTCAATCGGGCGCGGGCTCTGGAGGTCAATATAGGCCTTATGTGCCTTCCGGCTCATCGGAACCTAGTGCTCCGGGTCCAAATGACTACTACCGCCAACCTGGTGTCTATTAGCTTAGCTACGGGTAATGTGTGTTGGGAAGGAGGGGCCGTAGAATAGTTGGCGTGAGTGTGTATGTAATTAGTGGAATGATGGTTACGGCAATAGGGAGGCGAATCTACTTTTGTATTCTTTTAAAGAGAGATTATTGTTGTTTCTTTCAGCTTGCTTTTGGGTTACATGAAATGAATTGTCTAGCGTGGACTGGAATGGAGTGGAATTACGAGGAACAAATGTCCTATTTCTTTTTTTTCTTCTTCTTTTTTTCCTCCTCAACTAAATGAGTCTCTGCTGTCCAATATCTCCACTATCTGTCTTTTACTGTAGATATTGTGATCAATTTTACGGAAAACAGAGGTCTTCAGAATGCTGACTGACGTTTGGAATTATCCTAAATCAATTTATACCATAAAACATAATCGTTCGTATATATCATAATAATTCATAAACATTCTAGTATAAGCCCAATTTAGGAAGCTCTTGATATCATAGATATATTCCCAATTCAACCTTCCAGATTCATATCTCATAATCATAATCATACCATCTAAAACTCATCTCACCCACCCTCCTACCATCGTCGCCCATATGCAGCATCCCCCGACCTCTGTACCTTCTTCTGTCTCGCCATCCTCATCATCCCCGTCGAGTCCCTGGCTCTCCTGCGCTCAGCGTCCCCCTCCTCATCGTTGGCGACGGCATACGAATTGTCATCCCGACCGTGAATCGGCTTGAACAAATCGATGATTTCGTTGATGCCCAGCTTGAGCGCGCCCTTCTTGGAGCTGCCTTCGATGGTCTGCTCGGCGAGGAGGCGCTTCTTCTCTTGGAGGGCGAGGATACCGTCTTCGACGGTGTGGGTGACGGTGAGCTTGTAGACGACGACGTCGACGGTTTGGGTGAGACGGTGGACACGGTCTATGGCCTGCTCTTCGACGAACTATGGGAAGTTAGCATTTTCGTTATTGAATCTAAGATAAAGGAGTGTGTTAAAAAAAAAAAAGAGGGGGGGAGGAGACTTACGGGATTCCAAAATGGCTCAATGATAATCACTCTCGTCGCCGCAGTCAAGTTCAAGCCCAAGCTACCGCACTTCAAACTACAAAGAAGCACTCTCGTCTTCCTGTCCTCTCGCAATTTTCGCAGGCTCTCTTCCCGCTCATCGTTCTTCATGCTACCGTCGTAGCGCGTGAAGCGTAACTTTTCCTTCCGGAGGAACGGCTCGACCAGATCCAGCATGGACGTAAACTGTGAAAATACGATGAACTTGTGTTCGTTGGCCTCTGCACGAAGCAGCCTGGTGAGTTCGCGAATTTTGGCGGAGGATAGAATACTATGCCTGTCACCTGGCGGCGAAGGGTCGTACGCGGATGAACCATGAGAGTCGCTTTCTTCAGAGTCCGTTTCTTCTCCTTCTTCTTCGTCTTCTTCTGAATCAGTCTCGGATTCAGAATAATCATCAGAAGCAGAAACAGCGGCTTTTGATCTCTTGGGCTTTTTATCTTTAAGCGTCTGAGCAGCCAGATTCTTAGTGATTTCAGAAACAGACAAGAGCGAGTCGTTATCTGAATCGTCATCCACAGACTTATACCCTTTCTCCTTCCTGGCGATGGAATCATCCACCACAAAGCTGCTGAGATTGCTCTCATCGTCGCCATCTACTTCGGAGTCTTCGGAATCCTCTGATCCTATCGAGTCGCCGCCACCTTCTGCATTTTCATCTTCCTCTCCACCAGCCTTTCCCAGCCGTAAAGCCCCTCGTTCGCTTCCCGAGACAAGCCAGCTGCCATCAGCCTCTTCTTCGTCTTCGCTGTCGATGACGGCATTGCGATTTCGACGGCGGCGAGGCTTTTGCTTTGGCTCCTCATCTTCTTCATCACTGCCAATCACAGCGTTGAGGTTTCGCGGTCTCCGCGCTCTTTGCCTGGGCTCGGCATCATCATCATCTTCTTCTTCTGCTTCTTGGGTTTTAGTGTTTACACTCTTCTTCAGCTCTTTCTTTCTAGATCTGGAGGGTGCTGTCTTTGTAACCTTCTTGGTCCCCCCTTCCTCCGGCTGTGTCTCTCCATAAAAGAACGCCAGATCCGAGGCACACTCGGCACAGTTATCATTCCCAGCATTCCGCTGTTTCTTCTCTACCGGCCGGCCACAAATGCTGCATTCTTTGGTACTAATTCCCATGCCTGAAAGCAAGTCGGCCACAGAGTCAACATCCGTATCTTGCTGCTTTGAATTCGAGTAACCTGTTGATAATGCATCCTTGTCCTCTCCCAGTTTGCCCTCGAGAAGCTTTGGGTGATTGCAGGCTTGCCTTAGACGTAGTAGCAGCGTAAAGGCATTGGCGTAGCTCATCTTCTCTTTCATCATCTTGGTCATGCTTCGGTCGGCACGAGCTTCCAATTTTTGATAGAATCTGCGTTCCGCAGGGGATAGTTCGGCAGCAACAGTGACTACCTTGCGGTTGGTATGTCTAAATCCGTTTATGGAGGTTGCGCCATCAGCAGACGGCACTCCACCAGGGACGAGTGCGCCATCCTGCTTCAGGATCTCCTTTGTCCGCCTCTTCATGAAGCAGCGGAGGAAGCTGTGAAGTCTTCCAAGAGCGATATGGCCTTTCCCGCCCTTCAGGGGTAGTTCGATATGGTCTTTCCACGCTCGGATATCATCGTAGGGCTTGATGCGAAGAAACTGGATGAGTGACTGCAGCTCTTCGAGGTTATTCTGCATCGGTGTACCGGAAAGGCACCAACGGTATTCAGATTGTAGTGCGTAGCAAGCCTTGGTAGCTTTCGCATTGCGATTCTTGATAGTGTGCGCCTCATCCAGGATAACTCGCCACCAATGAAGCCCGAAGCAGCCTCCCTTGACACCATCCAGCCATTTACCATGCTCAGAGACAAGAATTTGGTAAGTAGTGATGACAACGTCATAGAGCTTAAGATCCTCGGAATCTTTTGTTCTCTGAGGCCCATGGTGTACGAGGACTTTCAATCCGTGAGCTTCAACTACCTTTTCTTTGATTTCTGATTCCCATTGCCTGATCAGTGCTAGAGGGGCAACAACGAGAGTCGTCTTGTCGACCTTTTGGAATGATTTCCGCCAGCCATCTTCGTCTTTGCTTGGCTTTTGGTTGAGAAGTATAAGTGAAATCGACTGCAGCGTCTTTCCCAGTCCCATGTCATCAGCAAGCAACCCGCCCTTGGGGACGGTTCCCTTCTTAACCGGCCCAAGCTCGCGGCCTCGCATCCAGTTGACACCCTCTACTTGGTGAGGGAGCAGCTGCACCTTGAGGCCATCCACATTGCCGTCTTTGGCAATGGTTTTGGGATCTCTAAGCACTGCGCTATCCTTGGCTTTCTTTCCTTCTCCTGGAAGTTTTGGCTGTTGCTCTTCGTCGGCCTCCACCCCTTCATCATCATCGCCCTCCATGCCTCCCTCCAGCATTGCTTTAAGATCCTGATTAGCCTTGGCGGGATCTGTATAGAAAACCTCGTCCTTAGGACGCGGCTGGTGTGATATTGGCGTCGATATCGATGTCGACCCCGATCCGACCGAAGAGAACATGGGCGGGGGAGGCGCGAAGCGAGGCTCGTAGGCTGGCGCTCTGGGCCCAGACACTCTGTTGTTGTCGAGATGATGCTCTGGGCGAGTCTTCTGACGGATGAAGATGTCGGCTTTCTGCTTACGAGAGGACATCATCTTGGTCGGGTGCCCAAACGTGGGATGTGTTGTTGCCTCGGCTTGCGCATTGCCATTGCGAGAGGACCAGCCGCCCATCAGGGCAGTGATGTCAGTGTCGCTTTCAGGCGACTGCTCTCGCTTTTTCCCATCGTTGTTGGCATCCGCGGTCCGCGGCGCTCTTGCTTTGACCATGTTTGGGAGATACTTTCTCGACAGACCGGTGGATGGTAAAGTCGAGGTTTTGGGCGATGGCGGGGCAAGGCTTTAAGGGTCCAATTGTTGACTTATTGGGCCTCGATTCTGATGCCCTAGGCTGAAATCATTGGGAGAGAAAGAAAAGCAGCAAAAGTGGTTTAAATAAGGTAAAAAGGAGTGACGAGAAATCAAATGAAGAACAGGATTGGTGATTTTTGGTTTCTTATTCTATTATGCTATTCTCACTACATCGTAATGTGCAATCTGTTGCAGTTGTTAACGGCCATACAACATTCACGGCTGCCACATGCTAGCAGTCACTCTGTAAGTAAATTGCAAACGCCATGACATAATTGCCCCAGCAACTGGCCGCCACCACACCAAAACCGAGGAGCGTCCAATAACCTAACAAGCACTGTGATGAAGAATGGGAGGCCTACACCTCACACAGTGTTTATAGTGGGGGTCAACGGCTCAAGGTCCTTATCTTGGGAAAAGTAGAGCTACAACGCTTTGGTGGTATATAGTTTAGATTTAGCTATGCCTAAAAGCTGTGAAATTTTTTGACGTGAGAATGTAGTCAACATCTCTAGCCTTTATTCTGGTCTTCTCCAGGCTCCATGTCCTTATCTTCAGATTCTGCGCTTCGGTATCGCCAGGTCATTACCCACTCCTTGTCCACAAGCAAGATTTTCCAGTATCAAGTTCCAAAAATTTAGTAAACCAGCTTGAAGATGTCGTTCTTGACAAGGAAGCCAGTAATCTCGCCACCGGGGCCCTGGCTGACGCTGACCTTGAAGTTCTGGACAAAGTTTATCAGGTTCTCGTCCTCGTCGACCTAGAGTTGTATGCGTCAGCGGCATTCAGTCTTCATATTTGTTTTTGCCTTGAAAATCTAGTACCTTGAGCTTTCCTGTTACCAGGATCAGGAGATCGTTATCGGCAAGCTGAGCATCGAGGGTGGAGAGCTGGTGGCCGCTCATCTTGAAGGGAAGGCTCTACACAGCCGTTAGAACTAGCTTCCTTGAGTGCATAGGTAGGTTAAGAGTATTATATACCGTGAGCTTCTCCAGAATAGCGTTGGCACCCTCAAACTTCTGAGACTCGAAAGTGAGGACGGACTGGGGAGTCTGTGTAGAGCGTTAAAACATGATCGAAATGCCGTCGAACCAAGTCGTAACCTACGTAGACCGCAGCGAGGCCGGCAATGTTGGTGCTCATGCCCGTAAAGAAGCCATTGACAAACTGCTCTGTTCGAGAAAACGATTTCGCGTTAGAAAGTTCAGCTCAGCGGCAGCTATATCGTAGACACATACTGGCGATTTCCTCGACGTCTATTGCAGTTTTGCGTGATTAGTTCGTTGCGGCGCATCGCTAGAGGGGGCTGTTTGACGTCTTACTGGCCATTTTGACGGTTGGGGGTTCGATTTTCGTGTAGAAAACTGGCGGTTGTAAGTCTCGACTCGGAAATTAGACGGTTGGAGAGGTTAAGGGAGGGCGAACAAGAGATATGTACTCGTAGTTGGATTTATCGCAAAATGTGCCCAAGGCTGTGAAGACGATAAACGCAGGGAGGCATGGTGGGGTAGGCAGATGAGGGACACACAGTGCAAATTATCTACTAAACGCATATAGCTAGGTCATAGCTGTATAACTGCATAAATGGTGGGATATGAGCTCCGATAACGGGGCATATGTATCTAAAAGGATGTTCGTCTATATCTTGAGCCGCCAAATTTTTTCCGTTTCAAAGAGAGTAGGATTTCTCACTCCACGGTCTAGGGCCAAAGCTGCAATTAACCCGACATTATTTTATGTTATTTTCTTTTCTTTTCTTTTCCCTTTTCTGCGATTTTAATTGTTAGAATCGCGAGAATGAATTGATCTACAGCTACATGGTAAGTCAATTAGCTTCTATGCCAGCTGAATGCCGCCCTCTCTCCTGATGATAAAACTTAAGAACGGCCAACTGAATTTCATGTTGAATTCTTAATCACCAACTTTTTGTCTGACAATACACAAACACACTCTCTTTGCGTGCTTATCATTTTATAATATTCCATATGGAACTATACAGCCGCTAACGGGACTGCAATACAGCTAGGCACTGCGATTTTCTCGGCCCTCCTACTCAACTCGTTTGAAAAACACCTTTCCTTCGTACATGGCATCCAGCCGGCTCTCCCATGTAACCTCTACACCTGATGGCTTCCCGTCCGTTCCCAGCTTAAATTCTGCTCCCACAAATTCCTCGAATTTAACGCCAGACCATATCGCCGAGGGTAAGTATACTATCCAATAGTTGCCTGTGACATGGTGAAAGTGCATTGAATATTTCCATGAAGTCTCTAAGCGATCGGCAACCAAGATCTTCTCGCCCGGCTTATCTGGGTGAGGCTCTTCACGGAGAGTAACGTTGCCGTATCCTGGATCGTAGTATGTGCCCACAAACTCGCTCACAGCTAATGGGGGTGGCAATGCGGGATCTTGTCTCTTGGGGTAAACAATGTCCACGGCATTTGCATATTGCCAAGCCATATTCTTTTTCCTTATGTCCCATCTATTTCAAAATGTCAGCAACTCATACAGGAGGAATTCGTATTCTGCGCGAAGGGCCAGTAGAAACGTACTTGGCACCGTAGTCCGTGCGATCTTTCTCGGGAATACCAAGCTTATCATCGATGAGCTTCCACGCAATCATTTCTTCTGGAGCCTGGCTTATTGCTGTGTTTCCAAATACAACCACTCCAAACTTGGCCTCTGGGAACCAGTATACTTGGGATCCAAAAGCATGCACTCCTCCGCTATGGGTGTATACCACATGGCCCTTGTGTAAGGTCCTCACCCAGCCTAGTCCATACAGCATGAGATCATACCCGGGGGCAAGGTTAGCATTCCAGAGCGTTCTGGGGGATCTGATATCCTTGTGCACGTCTTCAGAAAGAGGCCCGGATTGGTGGAGCAAGCTTTTCACCCACTTGGCATAATCAAGAGCATTGGAGAAAACTGATCCTGCTCCGCTGATTTCTACCAAAGGCATATGAGGAACCTCTTTAAATTTTTCTTCGTCCAGGTCCCAGTAGTATCCAGAAGCCAAATACTCGGGGCCATCCAGAGCATCCTGTAAGTCAAACTTGGTCGAGTCCATGCCCAGTGGCCCCCATAGGTTCTCCTTGAGCACGTCGCCAAGCCATTTGCCCGTGAGAGTTTCGATGACATGCGAAAGGGTCACGTACATCATGTTGCAGTACAACGGTGTCACACGCGGTTCGTAAGTAAGTGGTAGGTTTCTCATATTCCGGACGATATCCCGTGGAGTTGCGGCCCTTCCGTCAATGGCCCTGTGAAAGGAGGCATCGTGGCGAGCCATGCCTGTTCGGTGACTGACAGCATCATTCAAGGTGATGTGATTTGTCGCCCATTCATCTTGTAGGACGAAATCATCGCGGATAATGGACGAAATAGGCGTTTCCCAGCCTTGAGACAAGGCTGAAAAGTTGCCGGAATGAATTAGAGCTGATAGGACCGCGGCCACTTGCGATTTAGTTGTCGACGCGCCGTACCACAGAGTTTCTGGAGTAGCCGGGACATCTGGCAGCGTCGCATACCCATAGCCCTGTTATAAACAGCATTAGAGACTCAATATTCGACATATTTAGTATGTACTTAGCTATATAACGGCAACACTTACTTCGGCGTAGATTTCGTCGCCGTCAACCACAGCCACCGCAACGCCAGGAACCTTGTATTCATCCAATGTCTGTAGCACAAATTCCGCAAACTCGGAAGTCAGCGGATTTCCACTCGCAGCCGGTTCCTGCGACGTAATCGGCTTCTGTTCATTCTGGGCATTTGCCGCATTTCCTTGACCCCTCACGGATACCACGCTCGCGGCGAGGCAGAGAGTCGGAAAGACGCGCCAGGGCCGACCCATGATTGAGTCTCGAATAAATATATCGCGTTAGTCGCCGTCCTCCAATCCGTTCCTTGTTTTAGGTATATATACAAAGGCAAAGCTGCCCGGGTGAAATACCGCGTACTTGATGATGTATTTATACGGCCATGTATTTGGAGTAAGCCAGCGGCTATAGTGCCCCATCTTACGTCAACAGATCCTTCGAATGAATCCTACGAACCAATACAGTAAATTCCGCGAACCTAACGATCGATGCATTTATGTACAACTATATGTCTGGAATAGGCCGAAAGATATGGTATAGTAACCCCATCTTACGTCAGTATCAAGAACTCACGACCCTTCTACCTGGCAGCAGTCAGTCACCGTGATATATCAGATAGCATTTGGATCGCTTAAAAGCGGAGGTGAAGTTCCAAGCAATATCACCGAAAATACGCTCTTAGTCATTGCATTCATATTTTTTGCGTATACTATAGAAGGATTGACTTGTCAGTCGATTCAACAGCAGCACCCGCTCAGCATAACAAAAGACTCGACCCTGATGCAAGTCTAACAAGTTTTTAGTTCCCATATATAGCCAACCCCCTCGGCATGTCGTAAAGCTATAGCATACCAAAAAGCGGCGGATGAGCAGGACAGCCCGAACGTTATCGCCATTATCTATAGTTAGAGAATGCAACCAGTCCATATAGCCCATCTCCAGACCTGTAGAAGTGCTCTTCAAGCGATCCAATGGAAGTCGAGAACAGCATCTCAGAGTTTCCAGGCACCTCTTTTGTTCCTGTCCACATTTATTCCAGCTCTCCATTTTACCAAATCCCGTGGAAAAAAGAGGTAAAAAAAAATAAAAAATAAAAAATAAAAAAAATATTGGCTGCAATCAACACTCTGCAAATCGTTCGTACATCATGGCCCATTCCTGTAAAGTGTAGTCGTTAATGGCTGGCCCATAATTCTCTCTGCTAACTTCGGCTCGCTTTGTATGCTTTCGTTTGATCATTCCAATAAGCAAGGTATTAACATGTATAAATTTGAGGTCATCAAATTCGCTAAGTTACAGCGTCATGCTTAGCACACGTGTCGCTCTTACTATAGCTCTTCCTCTTCTTCTATTTTTATTTCGGGCTTCGTCAAAGCGGGTGATTCTTTGGTAGGAGACTCAGCACCGCTTGAGGTGATGGTTCCCAGAGCTGAGCTCAAGCTCTGAGTAGTAGAGAATCTATCTCCAGTATTGGTCTGATCAACGCTTGGCCGTGCTTTTTTGAGCGGGCTTCCGACCATTGCCGCAGCAAGAGAGTCGAAATTGGCCTGTAGGCTCGAGCTTGCACTTGGTGCTGATCCGGCAAGCAATCCTGGATCGGCCGGGGAGTCGGTTCGTTGTGATGTTTCTGGGGTAGAATTTGCGTCTGGTTCAGCCGAATGTGCCCTCTTAAGCTATATGAGGATAAACATTAGCGTTCAAGCTCCATGTAAAGTTGAAGAGATCAAGCTTAATCATACGTGTATACGGTTAACGCCATCTGCTAATTCGCCTTGGAATTTGGCATCTTCTGGGGCTAGCTTGGAGCTGGTTTCCTTATCGGCTACTTCCTCCATCTTGCCAATGAGTTCGTTTTCGTCGTCATCATCATCGCTGTCATCGGCAACATTGCCGTTGCTCTTCTTTCTGGCCTTCCGTCGTCGTGCCTCTTCGGCTTCTTGGTCTCGGAACGCAGAGAATCCGACTGTGCCACCGGCCTTGAGAGGCCCTAGGTTAGAAAAGTCTATCTGACCTGAGCGTCGTTTAGCCGCGAGAGCTGTTGTTTGTGAGTTCTTTGCCGACTGTAGAACGCCAATCTTTTGCAGTTGTCCTATTTTGGCATTAATAAGAGAAATGGGAAAAAGAAAAACGCAAGCAAGCAGGTGATTGAACTCACTTTCACCACGATAGAAAAACGTAAATGTAGCATAAGGCTTGTCTGGACCGTCGATTCCAGTAACCGTTTGGGTGCTGATGGTCTTGGGATCGAGCGTCTTGGGTTTAGCAAAACTCGTAGTGTGCTCAACGTCTGCGTCGATCCCATTGCCATTCTCATATTCATCATCTCCGTCGTGCGCATCAAATTGGGGAGAGTACTCTCCCTTTTTAATCTCGCCAGAGGCTAAAACACGGAACATTGCCACCTTGATCTGGCCTGTTGCCTCCGGGGGTTCATCATCGTCGTCAGACCAGGAATCAGAGTCGTCATACACGGGCTCGATTGGCGAAGTTTCATCGCCATATCGCAAAGTGCCCTTTCGTGCATCTGAATCCATGCTGGAGTTTCCTTCTAAAGTCGCGGCCTGTCGCCGCCTCCGTCTTTCAAATTTCTGGCGTCGCCTCTCGAGCTTTTCCGCAGCATCGTGGCCCTTGAGATCTAAACCGTTAAGCCAGCGCTCGAGGCCAACCTCGCGGAAGAGGAATTCACGCTCAGCCAAGCCGCCACCTTCGGCGTCAGGGACTTGGACCCAGCGGCTGTTGACCCAGGTCTCTTCGCCGGGACGCAATAAGGTGGCCACCTCCTCTTTGCCCCTCCCATCAAAATAAATATAGGCGGCAATCGTTTCGTTTTCAGAGTTTGTCAGGGGCATGTAGGGAGCTACAGCTCCTGCAACCTTGCCTCGTTCATTCTGGGAGCCAGAGTGGAGACCTCCGACGAATTGTGGCTTCGGGTACGGGTTGGCCTCGGACGGCTTTGGGGCCGAGTATGGGATGGGCAGACCGGGCGTCAACAGCGTGATCGAGATGGCAAACTTGGCAGGCTCCGGCTTGTTGCCTGCGTTGAGGGTTGGCTGCGGCACGGGAATGTACGTGCTAATGCGAGACAGCCTCGACTGCTTCTGTATGCCGTACTCGGGTAGCGGAGCGGAGTTGGCATGGATGCTAACCGCAATACCCTTGAAGCAGGGCATCGTAACGGAAACGAGGCTTTTGGCGAGAGGGAAATCGTCGCTCGAGTGCGGATTTGGGGGGTTGGGGCTGTTTAAGAGCTGGCGGGCGTTGGGAGACGAGGGAGACGTCGACTGTTTGACCAAGAGAGGGCGGTGGGGGAGACCTGATCAAGCTTGGCGATTAGAAGCTCCGATTCACCAGCTAGCCATCTCATGTGACAAGCAAATAGCGTGGGGTGAGGGCGTGTCCTGCGCACCAGACGGTAATACGGAGACCACCAAAAAGACGCGGGCGATGCGTTGACTTTGCGTTCACCAAGAGAATCACAAAAGAATCAAAGCCATGACTTGGCTGCTGCGAATAAGAACCCGAGGACGGCCTCGTCAGTGAATGGTGGAAGGGGGGGCTATTTGGGGGGGTCCAATCCCGCCCGCATCAGCGGATCATCTCTTAGTCCGATCGGGATACCTGCTGGGTACAAATTCCAGCCCTGTGTTTTAGAGTGTTTGGGCGCCAGCTGCAGTGCTGTCACGGCCGCCTCATGCATGAATGCCACAAGCCAGCTGGTTTTCACCGCAAGAATGGAGCGCATGTGTTGGCACTGGCTCGCATCTGCGACTTGGCTGTACCCTAATCCGGCCTTGCTGGCAAGGATCATTGGTATTTGCCGCCAGGAAAGCTGTTCCGTGTCTCTGGCTGTCAGCCATTAGATCATGCATCTTGGCCCTACCAGGCACCGCAGCAATAGCGCCTAGAGCGCCCACCAGTCTAGGGCTGTACTGCTACTATCTCAGTACCTATGGCTTTCAGGGCCTTGAGGTTCTGGGAGGGATAGAAAGGTGGCATTCGGTATTTCGGATCGTATCACCCCATGAATTTGGACCTAGAGTCCCAGTAAGACCCCTACTCGGGCGCTTATAGATGGAAAGTGTTCGTAGCTTGTCAACTTAGACGGCGATCAAGATATCTCGAGAGGAAGAGCAGTCAACAATAATCACAGCAATTGAGAGATTCAGCTGATTGGGCGTTATTCTACGGCATAGGTAAATATGCCTAATGTGTTCACGAGTTATAACATGGCCATGCTATCATGCCACTACTAACAAGATCAACTAATGGCATAAGAGAACACTTCTACCGCTAACAACATTTGATTAATTATCACTGGGGTATCTGTTAAATATTGCAATACCACTGACATGTCCGATCTACTGCTCCAAGTGCGACTGCGACTTTCTCTTGCGAACACTGCTGCTCCCTTCTCCACTGTAGCTGGTACCTATACCCGAATCTCGAGGTGACTTATCCTCAACGTCTTCTTCTTCGTCATCAGCTTCTTCTCCGGCAACAGGGATCTCATAAAGGGGCTGTTTGTGCTCTTCTTCGTCTTTGATGTCTGGTTCATGCTTCAAGGCAGGCTGCTTTCCATAGGTAGGGAATTGCTGCGGATAATCAGATCCGCCATCTTCTTCATCATCCTCGTCAGAGTCGTCAGGGTCTGTCGCTTCTTCAGGTGTCGACCTGCGCTGGCTTTTTCGAGCCTTTGGTTCCAGTTTGTTGGGTGAAGATCCCATTAAAGCGCCAAAGACGGCCCAAGCGACGCTCATAAATGCAAGTTCACAGACCCAGAAAACCATCGTAAATGTGATGAATGTCAAAAGACGATAGTGAAACATGAGCCATCGTAGGCCACTAAGTTGCGCCGTCAGCGTAAGTGAAGCGCTGTAAATCTGAATCCCTTGTCCAGCCTCTATCTCCACATACGCCGACAAGGGAATGGAAGAGTCTGTCGGGAAAGCAACTCGTTCGGCCACTGGTATTCGCATTATGCAGGTTTGCGCCGTTGGTACTATCAAATGGTAGAGCAAGAACAGAACGCGCGATGCCAAGGAAACGACGGGATCGATGTAAGGGAGCAAGGCCGGTCTTCGTGAGTGGAAAACCACATCGTTATGTTCGAAACTCGGTTCGCGATTGGCAAATTTTCGCGCATCTTCGGCTAGTTCGTAGCCATTCTCGGAGCCCAGTAGATATAAGCTAACCATAAAGTTCCCTCGTTCGACATTCGGAGGCGATCGCGGCATCGAGAGGGTAACGGAGATGTCATAATCTTGCTGCGGCTTCAGCATTGGCACAGCGAGTGCCGTAAGGCTATATGGATTAAGACTCGTCCTATTCAGGGCAAAAAATCAGCAAACGCTACGCTCAACGTCGCTATATCGCCACAATCCCCATTATACGCACCCATATTGCAGATGAACTGGCGTAGTGACAAACTGGTCAGGAACAAAATTCTGGAAGAAGAGCACAGTGGCAATCGCAGCCAGGCCAAGCAGTGTCACCGCTCCAGAAACGAGCAACACGACATTGACAGCGGCCCTCTGGACGGGCTTCGACGTGATAACGCGCGCAGTCTCCTGGAATGTTTCCTGGCGCACATGACTAGCGTTAGCTCAGGGAGCTTCAAGATGCAGGCCAAATAGCGAAACGGATTGCGATTACCATGGCAGAAAAGTCGAGCAGATTAAATCATGCCATAGACAGTTAAGATTCCCTTTGAAATAGGAGAGCAAAAGAATTCAAAGCTTATGAGACGTTGAGGGAGGGGTGCGAAACAAGGCGAGGCACTTGCAATTTGAAGTTTGGGACCTGCGTTGTTGATTATTGAGATGAGCTTCAGAGCATGTGATCAACATGACGTCTTAGCCGATGGCGGCGGCAGCAAAAGGTACTTGAAAGTGACTTTCTCGAATATTAGCGTGGCTACAGCTTGCGCAGTAAATTCGACCCTGGAGTGGCTTCAGTGGGCAAAGATTTATGTACTGCCCCTATACGGTGTAGATTTCAGCTAATTGCCATATTTGGCACTGGCGTGTCAATGTACCATATTAAGTGCCGGACCTGGCACCACCTGGCTTCCAGCAGACTACATACAGACTAACATGTTCGAAAAATATTAAACTAGGGAGCATACACAGTCTCATATATCTCAAAAAGAAGTGACCAGAAGGAAAGGACAGAATTTATTAACAAAGAGCACCCATATAAGGATCGCACACCACTATAATCGAATGAAACCAAGCATAAACAGCCAAGTCTCGGTGTCCTCGCAAAAATGACAAAAAACATCATCGAAATCATGTACATTCAAACAAGCCATAAACAGATTCGTCGTGTTTATCATTCAAAAAAATAAGGGGGGTAGAAGAGAAGGGGAATAAGAATGAAAGACGAAGAGGGAAAGCACCACCACCCAATAACAGCTCGTTATTTGCTACCCCTTAGCAAGGCTGGAGGTAGTTGCTTGGGACCAGCCCAATTTGGCCATTTCCGTTGTGGACTTCTGCCTCCCACCACCCGTCATCTTGGTGACGATAGACGGCAAGGTAGTCGCCTTTAGCGAAGCCGAGTTCCTCGGGAATAGCAGCTTGATACATGTACACTGCACGTGCTATCGCATATGTTAGCCTGTCTGACGCTTGATATCCGCGTGGATGTACATTAGAGAAAGAGAGAAATAACTTACCCATATGTAAAATTGGTCGTCCATCTCGAGAATATTGTCTAGACGGGTCAGCCACGCTTTTGCTCCGCTGGTGGCCTCCATCGTATAGGCCCATGGCTCGCGACCCTGGCCGACTGGAGGCCCGGCTTCTTGTCGAGCCATAACGATCATCACCACCACCAGGAGAAGCTAGCTGCATCGCCATTTCGGAGCCGCTATAGCTGCTTCCCGGACGACTCTGAGAGTAGTTGTAGTCTCCCCTATACGGATTTGGCGAAGCTCCCCTGGTTGAGCCCCGAGTCGACCCGTGAGGAGACGCCCCGCGATAGTATCCTTGATCTGGACCGCGGTTTACACTGGTCGAGGAATTGTTTCGCTGGTGATAAGGATTTGGCGATGCTGAGTGTCTAGGATCATTGCTCATTTGCCGCTGAGGCTGGGGAGATGCACCACGAGCAGTGGCTGGAGAGGCCGAACGATCGTTGCCTCGTGTGCCAGGTCGCGAAATAGGAGAAGCAGCGTTGCTCGCAGATCCTCTACGACCCTCATCGCCGAAAACGCTCCTTGCCTGGTTCGCCACCTTTTGGGAAGCCTCCTTCATAGCCCTGGATGTCACAGCTGGAGGCGGCACTCCCAGCCTCGTTACTTGAGTTTGAGCCTGATATGAAGGCGGAGGCGTGCCACGCGTGGCGGCAGCTGCATCATGGCTACCAGGAGCTGGGAAGGCCCTTGTCATCGCTGCCTCGGTGTTTGGAACAGGCGTAGAGATGCCATGATAGTGATCGGCCGACATTCTCACCGAAGCTTGCTTGCCCACGTTGACATTTTTGAGTTCGGCCAAGGCTGCTGCAATGGGATCCGCTGGTCCAGCCTTCTGGGGCGTCTGTTGTGGTTTCTGTCGGTTGGTATCAGCGGTAGTAACAGGGAGAACGTTTTGTCCCACACCAAGAGCCAAGCTTGCATTAGCATCAATTGGCTCTGGACTGGCAGTCCGTTCTTTCAGCAGATTCCGAGTCTGCGGCTCGTTATTTCCATAGGGTTGAGGTCGGCGAACGGGGCTTGTCGATGTCTGGGATTGAGACGGGTGCCAAGTGTTTCTGTTGCTAGGTGCATTACCGGCGGCGGCAGCAGCTTGTAGATCCTTGGTGCTCTTACGTCTGAAGGGGCTGTGGTTTTGGAAGAATCCGCTTCGCTTCTTAAGTGCTCGTTTGTCAGGGCTTGAAGGCGGGTCTTGCTTAGTAGGAGACATTTTGCCGCTCTGGGGTTCCTGGCTGGATGCCGACGTAGGATCGGAATATTCGCTGCGAGAGTCTCGGCTTGACGGCCTAGCAGATTGGATCTGGGAGCTGCTAGCTGATGGAGGGCCAGGGCGGCACAGCATCGTCATTCCATCCTTCGGATATGGATCATGGGGGCTTGTTCCTTTAGGACCCTGCCGAAGATTATCATATGGCGATGGAGGGTTTGAGCTTGTTTGCGACCTGCGAAACTGATCGTCTGGAGCCGGTGGCTGTCTACGATACTGGTCTTCGGCCGCAGGCGGTTGCCTTCGATACTGGTCATCGGCTGGAGGCGGCTGTCTTCCATATTGTTGCTGTTGCTGATGCTGCTCTTCAGGTGGAGGTAACTGCCGGCGATGCTGATCGTCTGGGCCAGGTTGTTGCCGGCGATATTGATCTTCTGCCGCTGGCGGCAGCTGTCGATAACGATCATCCATGCTTGCTGGCTGTTGCTTACGATATTGATCCTCCGAGGATGCGCGTGCAGCTGGCAGCATCTTCTGAGGGCTTTTTTGAGGAGTTGCCGCACCCTCACGGCCCGTTGGCTTGACCTGAGGTCTATGAGCCAAATCATTCGCCAGCGCGGAATTAGGATCGTGATGCGACTCAAACGTAGAAGGCTGTGGCGAAGATGAGCGGAAAGCTGGATTGATACTCCGGGGAAACTGCGCCACGGTATAGTTGTTTTCATCTTCGGAAGCTTCAGAGTTGGTATCGTGGACATCGCCGCGGACGAAGTTGATGTATTTGGGGGGCTCAGGGATCTCTTGGCCAGTACCACGCTCATTTATGAAAGTGATAATGTCAGTCCCCACATCCATGTTCTCAAGAGAGAGGCGGATCTTCTCGCAAGCTGCATCGTCGCTAACGCAAACTGTCGAGGCGATGTTGGCATACGTCCAAAGGCTGTTTTTGGTAAAGTCGAGTCTCTCTTCCTCAAGGTCCTGAAATTTGTCGGCGGCGGCCTTCCACTCTCGGTTCCATCGAACTGTGGTCTCTTCCAATACCTTGACGGCATTCTCATATTCCGTGTTCGAAGTCGCGAGGCTGATTTGTGTCTTCTCCAGCTTGGCCTTGTTTCGACGCTCTTCTTGGCCCATTACCATGTGGCCTTGTGCGAGATAACCTTTAATTTTCAAGCATTCTTGTTCGTATTTGTCCCGAGTCTAGTCAAAGTCAGCTGAGAAACGTTTGGCATCTGGCTTGTGCCCCTTACTTTGTTAACGTGATTTGTTTGTTGAACCTTGATCTTGAGCAGCTTCTCCACAGTGCCCTGAACAATCTTACGTCGTTCCTTGATGCCTCCTGCGAAGGCAGCCAGCGGTTCTTCAAGCTCCGTCTTCATTTGCGCGGCAATGCTTTGATGCTGTTTGGCCATGGCCTCGAGTTCGGTGCGGACCGTTTCCATAGAAGCTTTGAGTGTCCCGCTTTCATGAGTGCCTATGGTTTTCTTGCTCAGATTCATCAGCTTTCGGGCATACTCATCTTCGATCGAAGCTCGTGCTGTAAATATCGAAAGTCAGTATTCGGTCGGTACTGGACCACAAGTCCATCATCCTGGCAGCAGGTATCCTCACCGCCATAGAAACTCTTGAGTTCGTCGCAGGTCTGCTTCGAGTTGACCATTCGGTCGAGGAGGGGGACAACGCCAGCATCGTCTTTGCCCCAAAAATTGTTGGCAACTGCATCGATATTACTGTCAGTACGGTCTGCTCTGTCTAGGCGCGGGTTCGCGGCGCATAGTACTAACAAGACATTGCTACCGCCGGAGCGTCTGCAATTGCGGCAGGCATGGTGCCTGGTGGGAGTGAGGGTCGATTGTATGTGCCAGTTATTATTGTAAAATCCAAAGCGCGATTGGAAGTATTTCGTGGGAGCTCGGATGGCCTCTGTCGCATGTATCAACGCGCAGCTGCTCGAATGTCGGGGTTGCAAGATGCAGAGGATGCGGGTAGGGTGCATAAGAGCCCGTATAGATGGATAGCCGCCGCACCGCCAAACCAGGCCGTGGCGTTGTTTAGAGTGGCTTGAAGCCGTTGGCCAGGAAACAGCCCAGGCTGCGCGGCGGCGTCACGTGAGCCTCCGCAGCGAACCTAATGGCTGGCCCAACCCAACGCGGGCTGCCACCCTGCCTTGACAAAGGCGGAACAAATCGCCGCCCTCGTCTACGGTTCTTTTTGTGGTACTGTCCGGAGCCTCTTCCACTCCATCCTGCACCTAAGCCATCGAACGAGACTCTCAGACGCTCAAATCCTACCTCGACGCACTTGCTGGTCCAGCCTTTTGGCCGCTGCCTGACTGCTCCTTTTCGCCTCCCCAGAAGCCGCTTAATTCTCTGCGCCACCTGGCAATTCGGCGTCTTGGTACTGCCACGAGGATCTTTCACGCGAACCCACTTTGGCTCGACGTCCCGCACAGTCAAGCTTCGCTACCAAAGCCTTGGCTCGAAAGAAGCTTCTTCTTCTTCCACTTCGTCTCCCAACACTCGACCGACTATCATCCCAGCGCCTCAGCCACTCCATGTAGGAACGCCTCTCAGTTATACCTTCTGATAGTCGTTATCCTCTTTTTTCCCCTTATCTCCTCCCATCCTTATCCCACCGGTCTGCCTTGGCCCTTTGGCAGACACCACCTCTTCCATTCTCGACCGCCGCGAATATCCCTCCATGGTCCCTCCACAAAGAGCGGGATCATTCTCACCAAATCCTGCGCAGACTCTTCAAACTGGCAGTAACCACTCACCCCATCCATCGCACACTGGTGTCCTCAGTGCTGGCGCAAGCCCCAGCACAAGCAGTCCAACGGGGGCCAACTCCCTGACGAAAATTGTCGTCGCCCAAGTCTATCTCTTGCTCAGCACTATCAAGGAGGATAAGGATCGTGCCAAGTGGGAGCTGCAAGTCGAGCAATTACGAAAGGTGAGTCCCTCCTCAGCTGTAAAATCTCGGATGGTTCTAACCCACCGGCCAACTATAGCTCATCGATGAACACGGCATGGAGGTCTTTTCCAAATACTTCACCCGGTTGGTGGCGGGCAATGCACCCCAGATATTCCCGGGCCTTAATAGGCCCGTCGCCAACCCTGGCAATTACCACATCCTCGTCGGTGAGATGCGCAAGATAGCACATGATGTCGATCAAGCCACAAAAATTGCAGAGTCGGTGGAAAGTGGCACGGAGGACATATTCCGCGACTTCGACCTGTCAACGTTTATGGAGCACTTCAAGCTCGATGCCTTGGAAAAGACTTTGTTAGCTTTGGCATTTAAGCTTGGATCTCGCCCTGACTTGAAAACGAAAGGTAAAGCAAAGACTGCACTTCGAAGTGATCTTTTTAAATCCACTGCTAACGATTGGACTTAAAATAGCGGATGCCATCCTGTCCACCAACTTTCCGACCTTCATGGACATTATCTCTCGACCGGACATTGAAGCCCACTCTGACCTAACGCCCGCCTTTGTATCACTTATTATCGACAGATTTTTGCAATATTATCCTCCGAGCTTCAATGCAGCCTCCCGCCGAGACCTCCAAAATTCGGTTGCCAAGCGCTATTTGTCTGTGGATCAAGCACCCCCTTCCGAAGTGCTGGCAGCCCTCGATATCAGCAGAGTTTTGGCTGACCGGCCTTCTAATTCTTTGGCTCGCTACATTCAAAAGTCTGGGCCGGACTTTACAAAGGATGAAGAATCGTGCTTCCAGTTCCTGCGGGGTCGTCCGGCTAACCTCCAGCTCGGCCCTGAGCAGGTTTCTGCGGCACTCACATACGCTACAGTCAGCCAAACGCCCCCGCACGATCCTGTTGTCCTCGTCAGTGCGCTCCTCCGTATTGTGCCTAAATCTTTCGATTGGACCGAAGTGGTCCTTTGTTTTGACCAACCCTCGGCACGTATCTCTTCTGCTCAGTTCTTACGGCTTTATAAAGCTCTTTTACCTATTGCTGAGGAGCCGGCGTATAATTTCGATATTCAGCGGCTGTGGGGTGGCTCTTGGAGCGAGCCAGAGGCACAGCTGTCTTTCGTCAGCGCCTACGCTTCCCTGGGGCCTGATCAGCTCGACGCTACCACGATCCCCGGTCTCGAACGGAGCATCAAGATTGAAGACTACGCAAACTCTCCCCCCAATGTGCAGGAACGTGCAGCTGTTGTCGTCAAGCATCCACTCGTATCTGTAGCGGCACTGTCGGCAATTTTTAATGTTGCTCTCAACTCTGTCCACGCATCCCAGAGCGTCGAAGCAAAGCGACTATTCCAAGAGGTTGTCGTCCCGAACCTCGACATTTTCTTAGTCTCCGCCTTTGAGGTTCCCAGACAATCTTGGGCAGTCATGGCCATTGATACACTGAACTCCCTTTTTGAGACGTTTTTATACAAGCGCTCACCAGAATATGACTTTGTGCTCGATAGCCTTTGGAAGAAGGACAAAGAGTGGGTTGTGCAGCGACTCATTGACGCGCATGCAGTTAAGCCTGTAGATCTTCCGCTCATCTTCGACCATGCAGCCAAACATAACTGGTTGGAAGAGCTGGTTTATCTTCCAAACGGATTCGGCATTGATCTTGCAGCCTTTGCTCATGCGGAGGGCTACTTGGACTTGTCGAAATGGGCCCAGTTTAATGCCGAGCGAAGCAACGAGATTGCTCGAACTTTGTTGCAGTTCCTTATGATCAAGGCAAATCTAGAGATCCAGTTCCAGCGACCGCCAGATGGCCAGCCACCTGTGAAAACCAGTACCAGTCTCCAGGTGCGAACTGTTTCGGCATTGCTGCAGATACTCGAGGACTTCCTTCCCAAAGCACCAGTGCTCGATCTCATTCTCGTACAGCGTCACTGCATTACCGCATACCCTCGCCTAATCAACTATGGGGAAGGATACGACGACATCATTGATGCAAATGGAAAGGATGGGAATGCTCTGCCGCAAGCAGCCAATAGTAAGATGGAGGAGCATTATAAAAAGATGTACGGTGATGAGATCCAAGTTCGCACAATCGTGGAGATATTGGATCGCTACAAGCATTCGCGGGACCAACTCGACCAGGATGTATTTGCCTGCATGATTCATGGCTTGTTCGACGAGTACAATCATTATGTCGACTATCCCCTTGAAGCACTTGCCACAACCGCGGTTCTCTTTGGAGGAATCATCTCTCACAAGTTGATTTCTGATCTACCCCTGAAGATCGGTCTCGGGATGATTTTAGAGGCAGTAAGAGATCACATGCCCGATGATCCAATGTTTAAATTTGGTCTTCAAGCCTTAATGCAACTTTTGGTGCGTCTCCGGGAATGGCCAGGGTTCTGCAAACAGCTACTTCAAATCCCTGGCCTTCAGGGAACCGAAGCGTTCAAAAAGGCAGAAGAGATTGTTCGAGATCACGAAGAGGAGCTTGTACGTGCTCGTAATGGATCAGGCACCCCGCATGGAGTAGGGTTTCCCATTGATTCATTTGCAAATGGAACTAGCGATGAACAAGCCAGCATCGATCGCCCGGCGCCCGCGTTCACAGCTATCAGCGTTGATCCGCCATCCGCTGATCTCGAATTCGAGGACCCAGATGACGAGACCCAGGGCAAGATCCAGTTCGTTCTCAACAACATCACCGAAGGCACTTTGCAGTCGATGTGCGGCGAGCTTCGCGATATGCTCGAACGAAGATACCAGCAATGGTTTGCTAGTCACCTCGTTGAGGAACGTGCCAAAATGCAGCCCAATTATCACCATGTGTATCTGGAACTCGTCAAACAGTTTGAAGACAAAACTCTCTGGGCCGAGGTTCTCCGCGAGACGTTTATCAGTGTATCTAGGATGCTAAACTCTGAAGCGACTCTGCAGAATTCCACGGAGAGATCACATCTCAAAAATCTCGGAGGGTGGCTTGGTCTCTTGACCCTTGCCAGGGACTATCCGATTAAGCACAGAAACATTGCGTTCAAACAGCTTCTTATTGAGGCGCACGATACCAAACGCCTCATTGTCGTTATCCCCTTTGTTTGCAAGGTGTTAACTCAAAGTGCAAGCTCAGCAGTTTTCAAACCTCCCAACCCCTGGTTGATGGACATCATTCACTTGTTGATAGAGCTCTACCACCATGCGGAACTGAAGCTTAATCTTAAATTCGAGATTGAGGTCCTATGTAAGGGCTTAAACCTGGATCATAAGAGCATTGAGCCGTCTGGAGAGATTCTCAACCGGCCCGCTGCAGACGAGCCAGATGTGCTTATTCAAGAGCAGCTCGAAGCCTTTGAGAGCTTATCGCTGAACGGAATCGGATCGGCGGTCGGGCCTGGCTTGTCTCCTCAAGTTCCAACCATTCCGGAGCTTGGACCTCTCATCACTATTCCCCCCACCAACGAGATGGTCGTCAGCACCAGCAGGCTGCACGAAATCGTTCGATCAGCTCTCACTCGCGCTCTCCAGGATATTATACAACCAGTCGTCGATAGATCCGTCACTATTGCTGCGATATCAACCCAGCAGATGATTCGGAAAGATTTCATTGCCGAACCGGATGAAAACCGCGTACGAACTTCCGCTATCAACATGGTGAAGGCTACCGCCGGCAGCCTAGCTCTCGTTACGTCTAAGGAACCTCTAAGAGCAAACTTGACCAACTACATGAGGAGCCTTGCCAATGATCTGCCGTCGGGTCTCCCTGAAGGTACCATCATCATGTGTGTCAACTCCAATCTCGACTTGGCTTGCAGCATCATTGAGAAGCAGGCTGAAGAGCGAGCGGTGCCAGAGATTGAAGAGATGCTGGAAAGCGACCTGGAACACAGGAGGCGGCACCGTATCCAGCAGCCAAATGAGCCCTACCACCTAACGGGAATAAACCGATGGGCCATGACAATTCCGAGCCCTTACAAGATACAGCCGAGACCTGGTGGCCTCAATGCCGAACAGATGGCGATTTACGAAGACTTTGCGAGACAGCCTCGCACCACTTCTTCCACAGTGGCATCCCATGCGCCATCTGCATCAGAAGCTACAAGATCGCTGGCAAATGAGGTTCTACAAGAGACCTACAGTGCCTTACCGAACATCCCCACGCCCGCCGAGACACCTTCAATCCAACAACTGGGCGCGCAGCTCCAGCAATATGCCCCTGTTCATAACCTTGCCGCTGCCAACGCGATGGGCAACGGACGAGCTGCCGGGTTTCAAATGGATGTTCGAGGTCTGGCAGATCGAGTCAACAAGCTGCTACAGGAGTTACTGCGCGTGGCTAGAGAAGCTCAGGAGGACCACTTCGTCGGCCTGCCTCGACCTCATCCTGTTCTTGACGTTGTCGATGCCCTTGTACAGCTCATCATTAAGACGTCCCAAAACTCAGAAGAGTTTGCCATTTATGCCGCCGAGCAGATCAGTGCCCTCATCTTCCAGCAGGTTGAGGACAACTTGACGCTTGAGAGTCTTGTGCACGTGCTAGAGACTCTGAGGAAGATCTCTGGCCCTGCCCTGAACAGCCGAGTTCGCTCTCTGTTTGCCCAACAGCCCGGGCCAAACTTTTTGAGTCTTCCTCTGCTCGCAGCACTAATTCGGACCGATTTGCTCGACTGGAGAAACATTGACCTCGCAATGTCAAAGGTCCTAGAAGCTCGCAAGGACAGCTCACTAGAGTTCCTCGAACATATGCTCGACCTCACAATTCTCAACAACAGACCAATTGCATTGTATACTGACTTTGTACGCACTCTCGAGTCAGCCTGGACGTGGATATGCGAAGACCCCAACTCTACCGCTGGCCAGCGGCTCAAGAGCAAGCTGATGGGCTCGGTTCCTTCTCAACCTCCTCAAGGCCCGTCTAGCGCCGAGGAACAGTCGATCCAACAAGACCAGCTAGAGTACGTTTTCGAGGAGTGGGTTCACCTATGCAACAATCATAATGCCTCAACCAAAGCTACGACTATCTTTATCCAGCAGCTACAGGCGAGGCATGTCATCCGCAGTCGTGAGGACTTCCTCTTGTTTGTGCGCATTGGTATCGATCTCTCGGTTGAGCGATATGAACATATTCTACACACTGGGGCTATTGGCGATGCGTATGTCGCAACGGACGCGCTGGCAAAGTTCATCGGCATCTTCTCTGCCATGCACTCCGAGACGGCTGTGTCCCGCGCCGCCTTTTTGGACTCGATTTTGGTATTGGTCTCCTTGATACTCAACCACCATCATGTGAAGCGAGGGGAGCACCTGAATCAAAGAGTCTTCTTCCGCCTCTTTTCGATGCTTTTCCACGAGATTTACTCCGTCTGCGAAGAGTTGTCGGATGACGACCGCCGCGACGTTATGCTGAGAGTTGCTACCAGACTTGAGAGCATCGGCCCACAGTATCTACCCGGATTTGTATTCGGATGGCTGTTGCTTATCCAGCATCGGGCCTTCATGCCTGTTCTGCTACAGTTGGTAGACAACGCAGGATGGAAGCTTTTCGCAGACCTTGTCTGCCAGCTACTTGGCTGCTTGAGCGAGCAGCTGAAGGCGCTCAACGTCAGCGACGCCGGCAAAGATCTCTCCAGAGGTACGGTGAAACTGTTTGTGGTCCTGCATCACGATTTCCCAGACTTTTTGGCAGCCAACCATGTCAGATTCTGCGCCAACATACCGACGCACTGTATTCAGCTAATCAACACGGTTTTGACTGCGACTCCCCAGCAAAATTACGGCAAGCCTATCGAGAACCTTAAAGGCGATCGGCTGGAGGAGCTGAAAACATATCCCGGCCTCATCGATGAAGCAGTTGCAACTCTGACGGAGGCTGGCCTATTGAGCGTGCTTGATCAGGTTTTCCAAAACGGCCCTGCGGAAGAAGCAGTGGCACAGATTGTACACACTATCACGTCCAATGCACCCACTGAGACCACGTTCGGGCATGTAGCTATCACAGCGAACGCTGAGATCATTGGTGCGGTTGTGCTGTATGCCGGTCACCACGCTACCGAGCAGCCACCTCCAGCGAGCGGCTCACTGTCTATCTCAGGGAGCGAACCAGAGGTTGCGATGCTATCCCTTTTGGTGCACGAGCTACCTCCGGAAGCTCGTTATTACTTGATAGCCAGCATGGTGAACCAATTAAGATTCCCCAATCCTCATACTGAGTTCTTCAGCCAACTGTTACAACACATCTTTGGGAAAGATATGAACGATCCTGAAGAAACAGACATTCGTCAAGAGATAACGCGAATTCTCTTGGAGCGACTGGTGGGATTCTGGCCCCAGCCCTGGGGACTTATCTACACTGTTGTAGAAATATGCAAGAACGAGAGAAATATGTTCTTTGAGCTCCCCTTTATAAGATCAACCCCAGAGGTAAGTAATACATACTTCTTGTTGCCGCCCTTTTCCCCAGCCATATCAGTTACAAGAGAAACTAATCAGACATATAGGTTGCTGAACGGTTCGCCTCAGTGCTTCAACGGGTATAGTTTACATCGAAGGGGGTAACAGGGATTCGACACGAAGCTACGATGATACAGTGGAGAGAGGCTCTGTGAGTCTAATCGCATGACATTTGGTGCGTTGGAGCAAGGAATTCGGTTTACTCAATTTTACTTGTCTCATTTTTTTTTCTATTGTCCTTTTTTTCTTCTTCACTGGGAATAGAACGGAAAGGGAAAATGGTGAATTGTCAAAGAAAAGTTCGGATCTAGTTTAGCTCGGTTGAGCATATACAAGGAGGGCGACTTGAGCGAACGGTATAAATGTAATACTTTGTATTAATGTACGATAAATACTTTAACGATGCGGGGGGTGGGGGAGAATACCATTGGCGCATTTGGGAGCATCTAGGTTCATGAACCTAGCCGGATAATACTTGGGTTTAAGATGACCGTTATGAAGAGGGAAACAAGGACTACGGAGGACATAGCAAAGGCGAAAGGTTATGGATTTTTTGTCAGATAAATGGCGCCGGGGCAAGTTATTTTATCAGAGCAGTGACTACTAAATGGTAACATGTCCACGCATGACTTGGACTGCCGATCCAGCAAGTGTGACTGTATCAAGAGCACCATCTTTGAGACTGACATCGACCACGATGGAGCTCTCCCTGCCCATCTCCACGCCCTGGGTGAATTCGTACCGCCTTACTGGGGTTGTCTGCTTATCCTCTCCATGGATGCTCAGGTAGGAAGCCAGGCAGCCCGAAGCCGATCCAGTGGCAGGATCCTCCAGGTCATGGGCCACCATACGAGTGCGCAGCTGGATCACAGGGATGCCGTCTTTGGTGGTCGAGGTGCCCGTGCGAACATAGTAGAAGCGGCCGACAAAGCCTTGCTGCCAGTCGGCGTCGAGGAAGTTGTCGGCCTTGAACTCCATGCTGCTGACGTTGACGGCGGCGAGCAGCTCCAGCGACGACAGCTCGATGGGGACAAAGGTCATGCCCTTGACGAGGCTGAAGACGGGCGCCGTGAGCTCCAGCTGGCGGATGGTCTCATTGCGCTGGAGGTGGACGGCGGGCTCGAGGCCGGGATACTTGGCGAGGCTGGCGGCGTGCAGGTGGACGTTGTGCGGCACGGCAATGGACACCGAGTCCGGGCCGGTCTGGGTGACGGGGATGGGGCCGGCCTTTGTGACGATCTGGGTGACGCCCTGGGGCAGCAGCGTGATGGCGCCGCCGATGGTCGGGTGGCCGGCGAAGGGGATTTCGGCGGTGGTGAGGAAGATGTCGATCTGGCGCGAGGTGTCTGTGGCGGGGTCGGCGACGTCATGGATGAAGATTGTCTCGGAGAAGTTGAACTCGCGGGCAATGGCTTGTTTCTGGTCCTGGGTTGGTTTGGGGCCCGAGGCGGGGATGGTGACGACGGCGAGGGGGTTGCCGCGGAAGCGGGTGCGGGTGAAGACGTCGAGGGTTACGTAGGGGAGCTCCATGGTTGTGCGTTGGTATGTATAAGAAAAGAGTGTGTGCGTGGGTGAGGTTGTAGAGAGAGTTGATAGAGAGGGGTGGTGAGTTTAGAAATAGAGAGAATAGAGAGAATAGAGAGAAAGAGTAGTGAGCTTAAAAGAGAGGTGGATTGGGCTGTGAGGGTTGGATATAGAGAGGAGGAGAGAAGAGGGAGGGGAAGGTGTGGTGGTTTGCTAGAGAGTTTATATACATCAACTTATACGACTCTATATCTGGGTAGATGAGTACTTTTGTTTCTCCGTTCACGGCGTTTGTAGCATTATTAATTGGAGTCCAGTTTGAATGCCAAATATGGACTATTGTGTGGCATGGCATGACTGCACATGGATGACTCTTACAGCTATTCTAGATACCGGAATAAGATATGTACTTGACGCCCTTCTTTCCTCGCTAGAATGAGCCATGTGGAGCGCTGTTTGTCAAAATAGTGATGCGAAATAGTCAAGACAGGTATAGGCACTTGGGTCTAAAATCTCGGTGCCGGGAGCTACTCCGCACCTACTCCGCACGCGGGAGTTGGAGAGAATACCTGTATCAGTTATCGGCCATACATAGATGCGGCGTTGTAGACGAGACAAACGGCAGTTATCGGCAGTTATCGGTTCAATTGTGAAATTACTAATTGCCTTCTCTCTCTCTCTCTCGCCTTGGTTCAAGCTGTGCGTTTCGATGGCAGTCATCTAAATCGCCTTTAATTATGACTCTTGCTCGTAATTTTACTTAGCTAACTTACCATGTGCCTTCTTTAAGTAGCCAAAGAACATAAAAACGGCAGCTATTATTTGCCAATATCTTGTGCTCTGCCAAGTGATGGCAGTTGTGGCACTATTCACTCGACAGTTTGAATCCCAACCAATATTCTGTCTTCCCAATTACATGTACGTAGTTCCACAGCTACTTGGCAAATAGTATGCGACTCCTTCGTAGTCGCTCTGTCCAACTTACTTGAACCCACCCGTGGATTTCTGCATCACAAGGACACATAAAATGGATAGGACATGCCTAATCTCATAAGTAGATGCAATATCCATTGTTTTTACTTATCCAGACAATTGAATATATATGTATACATGTATATATATATATATATATATATATTTACTTTGGTTTATACTCGCATAGGTACAGGGTAAACGGCACCAAGCCGCCCAGCTAGCTGAAAGCGCCTAGCTCTAACTCAGCTGCCTTAAACTATGCAACCTTCGTCTCCACCCCTCCTAACCTACCTCTCCCAGCAAATATGTCAACACCACACAAAACCCAGCAATGACAGATATCGACATCGGCCTCGACTCCCACAACCGCAATCGCAGCCACGACAAAGCCGACAAACACAACGAAGACAGCAGCAGCCACGACGGCCATGACAATCGCACGTCGAAAAGCTACAGCCCTCGGCACACCGGCCGTCTAAAGGCCCCTCCGCGTATCGCTTTCCTCCTCCACCACGTCCGAAGCCATCCCGAGGCCTATCTGGTAGCGTTTTCCACGCTATACTTTCGACTCTTCCCCATAATCTTCACGCACAATTCCACACCGCTAAGCGTGTACCTCGCCGTCGTGCTGGTCTTTATACCGGTCAAGGTGATCCTGGCAGCATGGCGGGCATATAATTCCTCGTCCTACGCATCCAAGGGGCGGAAGAGGAGGGGCAGCTTCTTGTTGCCGTCGAATGGGCCTTCCACGACGGGCAGGGCTAAGAAGGGTGGAGGAGCGGCGCAATCGCTGCTTTGGCTGTGCGGTGCGCTCTTCAGCATATGGGTTTATACAACGGGCATCTCGTCGCCATTTCCCACGGCGGCGTCCATCATGGCCCATTCCCCTACGTTACAAGAGCAGCAAGCACGCAATTCGAGCTACTTCATCGCCGCCTCCTTCTGGAACAACGAAGATATATTAGACTCGTGGACCAAGCAGGCCCTCGAGCTCATTGACTCTCTTGGCCGGCCAAACGTTTACGTTTCGCTGACTGAAAATGACAGTGACGACAATACGGCCAGCAAGCTGCTACACTTTGGCCGCGAGCTGACGAGGCGCAATATAACGCACAGCGTCAACATAACGACAGACTTGCGCGGGTATCCCCCGGAAAACCCCTGGCACAGCATCAAGCACAGGATGGGCTACATGGCAAATCTTCGCAACGGCGCCTTGGAGCCTCTGGAGCGGCTGAACAGGCGATTCGCGAATGTCATAATACTTAATGACATCGTGTTTCACCATACAGATGTCCTCAAGCTAATTGCAGCAGTGGGAGGAGATGATGTCGGCGGCCCACAGGCCAAGTATCCCATGTCGCGTCAGATGGCGAAACCAGGGAAAAGACGCATGGCCTGCAGCATCGACATGGACGGCGCGACGGTGTATGACACGTGGGTGCTCCGCGATCGCTGCGGAAGGCCTGTTAGCGGCTTCTGGCCATTTTTCACATCAGAGGAGGACAAGAAGGCTGTGCGCGAGAATCGCGTGTTGGAGGTTGGCACCTGTTGGAACGGGCTCGTGGTCCTCGACGGGGACATGCTGCTCGACCCACCTCTCCGCAGCAAGAACGCAGATTGGGATGCGGCCACGCTGCGCTTCCAACAGCCGCCCGAGTGCATCATATCCGAGTGCTCGCTGCTGCCGTTGGCCATCACCAACGTCACAGGCGGCGCCCCGGTGGTCATGGATCCCTCCGTCATAGTGGGCTATAGCATCGGGTGGTGGAGGTACTATGCAGTCTGGATGCGCATGCCTGTCGTGCGGCTGTGGATGAACATATTCGAGCAGGGATACTGGAACCTCTGGTGGAAACTGGGGATGGGCAAAGGCTTAAGATGGGCCGGGCTGGATAACGGCAAAGAGAAGAATGAGTGCATCATCACTGGGTGGCCCAGGTGCGAGAGCGAGGAGCGCGATTATACCGTCAAGGGGGGGATAAGACTTGGCAAGTGAGACAACACCAGTAGTAGTTGAGATGATCGACGGAGGGAATAAGCTGTGAGACACAGCGAGACACTGACTCGGCTACTCGTGTATTCTCAACATGTCTCTTGCAGACTGAGACCGAGACCGTGACCAAGACCCTGCAGCCAGCCATTTGGGCGGTGCAAGTGGTCCCTGTTGCTGTAAGTGGCCCAGTTACAACGGCCGCACACCGCAACACGTTAATTTCGGTGCTGCCACCACAAGAGTTGGATAGTGGAGTATATATTATACCTACGCAAGTACAAAGCATTCTCAATGGACAAACATCTAGAACGTATGAGGACGGCTAGCAGCATCAACCAAGGCATTGGGCCGAGGCATTGACTACTACATAGTAGTAAGCTGCCGCAAAGGTGCCAAAGCAGGGCGGTGTACTTGATCAGGTTGTGTACCTTAGCTGCAGCAGCCCAAGTAAACATTGAAGCTTACCATTTCCCAGCCACTAACTACTAGCATATCAAGGCCAGTATCAACATGCACAGCTAGTACGAGTGTAGACAGCGAGCCTTCATTTCGGCAAAACCTGGGTCCATCGCATTGAGCTCCATAGCTGCGGTTCTGCTCTGGCCGACTTACACATGAAAGCGGCAGCGAGTCAAACGACAACAATCTCGCGCTGCGGTCTTTAATCGCTTAGGGCGCTTTAACTAGCAGCCAGCCCCGCTGGAAAAGACCCTTGGCCTCAGCGGTTTGGGGGATCCATGTCCCAGTCGCAGGGGTGGCAAGCGGTGGCAGAAAAGTCGATGGCAGGGAATGTTCATGTAAGTTGACGCAGCAATATATTCGGAGCATTACTCCGTACTCCGTGATGGCCAGAAGCGTTGGGAGGCAGGCCAAGCGAAACCCCAGGGTAGCACTGGCGAATTTTTTTCCCAGTGTGTGCACACAATTACGCGCCCACGCACAAAAAAATTTCACAGCCTCTTTTTTTTTTTTTTTTTTTTTTTTGCCTTCCCCTCCCCCGCCTTTCCTGCAACGGACGACGCGAGCAGAAGCTTTTCGTTGCAGCCACCCATTGAGCAAAAAAATGCTTCACAGCGTCGCAGCAGCTTCATAATACCGAACTTTGCCGGGTGCTGCGTCCTTTTCGTTCTAGAAGCAAGTCCGGCACACAGTAGCTGGGAGCGCGTCTCCATCGCCATGATGTGGTCCCCACGACCCTGAAAATTGGAAACTTTTTTTTCTTTTTAATTTTTTTTTTTTTTTTTTTTTTTTTTTTTTACCTCACCAGACACGACTAGGAGTGGCCCCATCAGATGGCAAGCGTTAGTAAAAAAAGAAAGAAAATATCCACCCTGTGATAGTCCCTGAGTGCCGAGTTGCGGACCAACCAAAGAGTGGCCGCTGTCGCGGTGTCTGGCAGGCCGCATCCCCACCAGCTCTTGCCAACCCCACCGCACGGGCCTGTAACAGGCATCGCTCTTGCCATTTTCGTGCCATTTCTGCTAGTGGGCCATGCTTGCCTTGGAGGCTTTGGCTGCAACAGCAAGTGGTCTGTGCGGGCACTGACGTTTAGCGCGCCCCACTTCGGCAGCCGTGACGGGGGCAGCGACCAATGGGATCCGAGGGGAAAGAAAAAAAAAGTTCAAGCTCTCGTGCTTGCTGCCTCTTTTTTTTTCCTCTTGGCCCGCCAACGCCAGCAAAATCGCCTGAGCTCTACCCTCTGGCTTCTCTTTTTGCTCGGTGGCCCCCCCCCCAATCATTCCCTTCCCATCCGCTCGTAGAAACCGCAGACCGCCCCCCGACCTGCGCCCGAAACAATTCTGCCCTCCCTCGGGATGTTTGGGACGAACATCTACAGCAAAAACAAACAAAGCCTCCTCTCCTCCTCGTAGCCTTATCGTCTGCAGCCTGTTCTATGCGTGCCGGCCTGTAGTCGATCCATCTCCTCACTCTTTGCCACCGCCATCCGCATTACGTCGTCCAATCAGCCCAATTACACCAGATCGTCTTAATACATTGCATACACCAGTCCATTGCATACCTACATATACAACGCAGCCTGTGCATCATCATCCTCGTCATCGTCACCCTCGCCTACATCACCATGCCTTACAACACGCGCCGCAAATCGTTGTCCCTGCCCAGCCTGGGCATACACGTCCCCGTCACGCATGCCTCTCGCGCTGCTGCCTCGTCAAAAAGCACGTCTCGCGGGGCCTCGACCTCGGCGTCTGCCACGCCGGCGGCCAGTTCCTCGCGCTCGCAATCACCAGAAGCGCACCCCAACAAGCGCCTCAAGAAATCCCATGCCACAGAGACTGCCGTCATCGAGACGACGCCGCCGCCCTCGCCTCCCCGAGCCATCAGCGAGGAGATGACAGATGCCGACGCAGCCCAGAAGATCGATCTCGAGAGCATCAAGGACGACATTGTTGAGGCAGTTGTTGTCCAGCTGCAGTCGACCGCCAACCGCCCTCATCTCATCAAGGAGCTGGCAACCGTCCTTATGCAGTCACTGACGGCTGTACAACAGTACGTTTCTCCCCGAACTCACCTGCACCACCACCCCCTCCACTCTTGAGCAAACGAGTCCTAACAATACCATCATAGGTCTGCGAACCCCTGCGCCATCATCTCGTCCCGCTTGGCTTCATACATGAAGCGGACCTGTTGGTCTGCCTCAGCGCCCTGTCCATTGGGCAAGGAGCTTGAAGCAGTACACCCGCGACGCACCTATTACTTCCTCACCAATCTTCCTAGGCAGCCACTCCCAGACTTTAGCGCAAGTCTTCAGGTTGCCTCGCTCACCCCATCAGTATCCCTTACCGAGGACTCTGGCTCAGATGACATCGAGGCAAGGCGACGAGAACTTAGCCCTTCTCCCGAGGTGGACCTATCAGCCACCGAGTTTGATAATACCGATGACGATATTTTAATGCCCATGACTCCCATTGGATCCTTCTCTTCACATCAGAGTAGAGTTATTCTTGGCCCTCGCAACAACTCTCCCCCTCTCGAGAAGGATGAGCGGGAGTTTACACAGACTGCAGATGGCCTACAGAAGCGCAAACTTAATGCGGAAGTCCCTCAACCAGAAACCGTCGAGCGCCACAGTGTCGCCATGATGGACTATTATCGGGACGATGTATGGTTTTCCGATAGCCGTCCCAGCGCAACAACCACTTTTCTCGCTAGCCCCTCCATCAAGCCGAGCATTTCCGCTGGTCGGAAAGAAGACGACGCTGACGCTTGGGAAAGACTAAACAAGCTGTTTGAGTGGGGCAAGGGCGCCGAGAGCATCGAGATAGACGAACTTGATTGCTTGCTAGACGCGTGCTGATTTTTTTTTTTTGTTTTCTTTCTTTCTTTTGTTTACTACTACAATTAATGTTATCATGGAATGGCGCAAGGAGCTAGGAATACTCAAAAGGGAAAACGGAGTTGGCGTTGGATGGCCTTTGTATTTATGGCATATGGCGTGGATATATGTGTGCGTGTGTGGAGAGAGAGACACTCCATTGTAAATATACTAGATGACGACTCTGATTATACTATGGAGATGATGAGACGAACAAGAACAAAAGGAGCTAAGCGGGGAACTTTTATGGACGAGGCGTTTAAAAAAAAAAAGAAAAAAGAATAGTACATACAAAAGAGCAAACCACTCATTTATAGGAACAAGATCCGCTCATCTTTCGAATACTTGGCCGTCCAAGAATTGCGTGCACTGAAATGTAACGATCAGTCGCTGGGGGGTATAGTAACCTGTAATCCCCGCCTGTCGCTTATGCCGGTGAATATGTGCTGTGACTTTTAACATATTGAAAATATTATACCGCCTTGTCTTTGGCTGCCATTTTGAGTTCGATCCAAACCAGCGTTCCCATCTGTGTTATGTTTGGCCGCTCAAGCTTCACCACCTCTAGGCCCGGCGTCTTGCTCACGGCATCCTCGACAATGGCTTCGATATCACGGTTCCACCAGCATCCATACTTTGCAAAGTGCTTTCCAGCATTTTTGTCAAGCAGGCCATTCACAAGGCCATAATAACCTTTCCCGTGTTCTAATAGGACTATGCGGCCGGTATCGGGTCGGACGACGGTAGCGAGATTGGAAAGAACGGTGACAGGGTCGGAGACGGAGCAGAGGCCAAAAGTCTGGATTATAGTGTCGTATTTATCTGTATGAGCAGGAGGTGGTAGCGGGTGGTGAGCATCGGAGTTGACGAGGCGGACGTGTCCATCCAAGAAGGAGAGCTGGCCACCTGTATGGTCCGCCATGGACGAGGTCTTGACGATTGGCGCGGAGGAAGACATGGGCGGGACGGATTTGGCGAGGCTCTTTCGTGACACATCGAGCATGTCGACGGATATGTCGAGGCCTGTAAAGGATGTGATGCCCTGGGGTACCTTTGGCGGGGGGATCTTGCCTGTCCTAGCGGCCTCGACGGCGGTGCTTAGAGGCTCCCAGTTGTAGTATTCGAGGTTTCGGCCGGAGCCCATGGCGAGCTCGAGGACATTGCCCTTTGCGTGTGCGGCGAGCCTCTTGCGCAGCTTTGTAATGCCCATCCACCACTCGGGGAGATTGAGTTCCTTGTCGAACTGCTCGGCATTGTCGCCGCTCAGGGCGGGGGGCCGGCCGGTGGGTGTGGCATGTTCGCAGGGAGAAGAGGAGGAGCAAGGGGAGGATTTGATAGATGCGACTGTGGTGCCGAAGATGTAGAAGCCTAGGAAGCCGGCGAGGACGGAAGCTCCGGTTAGGGGAAGCCAGGCACGGCGCCAGATATCCAGGAGAGTATCGGCTTTTGGAGGAGGTGGTGGTGGTGGTGGTGGTGGCGGGGGGGAGGATGCATTGGAAGAGGTGCCGGGCTTTTGTGTACTGTTGTATAATTATTAGAATTCAATCAAAGCTTTATCAAAGGTAAGAGAGCAATAACAAGAGAGACAAACGGTTTATATGACTTCGTAACACGGGGTGCTGGGGGGGCCCGAGCTGGAGGAGTTTTCACAGCTTGGCGTGAAGAGCTTGCAAGGCGCCATTGCAAGGGTGTAGCAGCGCTCACAGCGGCCCTGGCAAGGCGTCGAGTAGGAACGTTCATCGAGGGAGCATCGTTACGTGGCGCTGGCGCAGCAAAGGAGATGTGTTTGCTCAGTGATTGAGAAATGCTTTAATCCTTGTGGGTTGAGGGCATTGAGCCCGATCGATTACCTACTCTGGAGCTTGCAGAAAGAGTAAGGTGCGAATATGCAATGCGGTTGCATCAAAAGTGAAGAATCGGTTAAGTGGGGCCGCTGGCCGCTGGCTGCTGCTGAGTGGTTGCCACTGAGTAGAGATCTCGTGAGGCGTGAGACGATCTGAGAGATTCACGATTGCTGGTGCTGCTATTAATACCCTGCATCTTTATCCTGGCACGTCACGTCATCGCTCGTGGCTTTCAGGGGCATTATTGCGTTTGTAACTCAGCAGAAGAGGGAGCGCCAGATCTTAACGATTCATCTCTGTTCACGAGGGACCAGTCGCGGCAATGGCGAGTCACGGTGATTTACAAGAGATGCTGCGCATGCTGACTGCACGCAAAGCATCCATGATGGCGGCCATGGGCTACATCAGAGCACTGCAATCCAAGAATCTGAAAAGGCGAGACACTAGCGGCGTAAATCCTGCTTACTGAGAATCGCCGCAACTAACACTCGAGACACAGCATTGAACAGATTGCCGAGGCACCTTCATCTATCATTGAAGAAGCCATCAGTGACGTGAAGCTCGCCAAGAGCTTCCACACAGCATGCAAGTCGCATGGCAAGAAGGGCAGCAAGCGTGCAGCTGAGGAGCCTGCCTCTTCCGCTGGTGGTAAAAAGCCAAAGCTGGAAATGCACAAGAGGGACTTGGACTACAACTCTATGACGCCTGAAGAGCTCGAAGGGTCATTGACGCTGCCTCTATGCGAGGATGAGGGCCTAATCAAGGAGACGACACTAGTGACCAACAGAGCTCCTCTGGTTCTTGCATTTGCGGTAGAGCTGCTGCGCTTCACTATGCCAGAGCAGCCTCCGAGTAGTCGTCTAAGTCTTGCCCAGGCTGTTGTGAGTGCGAATTCGAGGTCCAAGGCCATAAGTATTGGGATTGAGAAGGCGCCTGTCGGTGGAGTACCGCCAATACCAACTGGACAGCCGAAGGTTTCTGTTCTGGGGCGAGAAATTCCGGTTCTGAAAAGAGGTGATTATACGTGGTCAGAGAGCTCTGAGAAAAAGCCAGAGACTTCATCCGCAGATACAGGCAAATCATCGTCAACATTAACGTCTACAGCATCTGACAATGTATGGGCAACCAGCAAATCGCTTAGTTCAAAAGGATCCGTTTTCATAGCGCATGCAGCGCCAATAACGTCGCCATCCATGCGCACTGGTCTCATGAAGATCTTATTCAACAATTACCCCGACCTGGAAAAGACAGCTGACCACGTTGCGTGGGCGATACGCACCAGCTTTGGCGGCTCATCTCTCGTGCAAGAAGCTTCATTTGATGATGGCGAAGCGGGCTGCGGCAAGTTTATGCTTGAGCTCCTGCGCGAAGCAAACATCACAAACACCACCGTTGTGCTTGCGCGATGGTACGGCGGCGTAATGTTGGGGCCTGATCGATGGCGCTTGATGCGAGAGTGCCTCAACGATGCGCTTTCTACTCAGCGGCGGACAGCGACGTTTTCTGGAGAGGCGCTCTGGGGGCTTGATGCAGAAGACAAGAAGCCGGCCATATCTACGATTGGCATGGCGATCCACCGGCCTGAAAATGCAAGGAATTATCTCCTGCGGAGCTTTGCCTCTGCCAGTGCTTCTGATGGAGGAAGCGGTGGTGGCAGTGGTAGCAGCGGCAAGAAGACCGTGGCCGCACTGAACGATGAGAAGCAAGAGAACCTGGGGAGACTGCTGGGAGCTCTTCGACTGCTGTTTGCGAGCTGGGCCGGTGTTTTGGGCCGGGGCGAGCTTGATCGGAGAGCATGGAGCTGGTACGTGGCTGTTCGGCCTGATATAGAGGCGGGGCCGTCTGGATGGGGAGAGAAGGGGACGTTGAAGTTGTCCAAGATATTAGACCTGAGACGACGGGAAGCTCCGGTGACTGATTGATATTATCTGATCAGATTCAGCGTTGCAGAAAGATATTGTAACCAGCTTCTTTTCTTTATATATGTTTGTATTTAGCAGGCGATAATGTATTTACAATGATACTGGCAGTCTTCCACCTATATATAACAGAACAGGTATACAAAATCACTTGTTTCATCTATTCTTTTTCCTCTCGCAGCTACTTGGCTGTATCGAGTCCTCATACCACTCTCGCGTCACCGTCGAGCCACAGCTTTAGGCTAGTCAAGCAGGGACCTGTGGCGGATGCACAACATGCAGCGCCAGGCCCAACGCAGCCTAGTGCCACCCTCGTTTTGCTGTCTTTGTGCGCCAAGTAACAAAAGTAAACACAACAAACATCCAAAACCCCAGAGCTCGTCAACATCAGCCATTCGAGCTGTCTCTGCGGGAATTGCCCCTGGCAGGTGCTTACTAACGAACCGACCACACAGGATCCATCGCTCAAAACATCAAACTTTGGGCGGTGCTCCTTTCGTCCCAGGGTAGTGCAGTCCCCGAACCAGACCGCGTTTGTGCCCCTCCGCAACAAAACCGCGAATTGTTGACCCCTCGCCCGGGCGACCAAGTGAACGTGTTTTTCTTCTTCTTTACCACCAACGCCCCCGTTTGTGGTGTTCACAGCAACAGCCGAAGACCAAGAAGGGAGAGAGGACGAAATCTCTTTCTACTTGCCAACCTCGATTTACGTACCCTTCCTATCAGACCAGTCCAACCCGGTCGCTGCCTTGCCCCCTAATACCCAATTCTTCAGCCAACCGCCGCCATGGAGAATTATCAGAAGCTGGAGAAAGTCGGAGAGGGTACGTTGCTGCTGTGACTTGCTCGTTTGTCCCCACAATGGTGTGCTGTAGTCATGGATGTGTATTTCTTTTACTTCTCTGATGCCTTCTCTCCTTTCCCCGTACTCTTCTCCACGCACCCATCTTATGCTTTGACATTATGCTGATGCATCCTTGCCTTTGCAGGTACTTACGGTGTCGTGTACAAGGCTCGGGACCTTGCTAATGGCGGACGAATCGTTGCCCTGAAGAAGATCCGACTCGAAGCCGAAGATGAAGGCGTTCCAAGCACCGCAATCCGTGAAATCTCCCTCCTGAAAGAGATGCGAGACCCCAACATTGTTCAACTGTTCAACATCGTCCACGCCGATGGCCACAAGCTGTATCTGGTCTTCGAATTTCTCGATCTGGATCTGAAAAAATACATGGAGGCTCTTCCTGTTACCGATGGTGGCCGAGGCAAAACACTCCCCGAGGGCACTTCCATTCGCGTACAGCAGCTTGGACTTAATGATACCGTCATCCGCAAGTTCATGATGCAGCTATGCGACGGTATTAGATACTGCCACTCTCATCGCATCCTGCACCGAGATCTGAAGCCCCAGAACCTTCTCATCAATAAAGATGGCAATTTGAAGCTTGCAGATTTTGGTCTGGCGCGGGCGTTTGGCGTGCCGCTGAGAACCTACACGCACGAGGTCGTGACGCTCTGGTACCGAGCCCCTGAGATTCTTCTTGGCGGAAGACAGTATTCCACTGGAGTAGACATGTGGTCCATTGGATGCATCTTTGCTGAAATGTGCACACGCAAGCCTCTCTTCCCAGGCGACTCTGAAATTGACGAGATTTTCAGAATATTCCGGTGAGAAATGCTCTATTTGGCACCATCTAGCAAGTTATTCTTCACAATTTCGTCTGGCTAACTGGTGTCTGTCTCTCTGTCTCTAGTGCTCTCGGAACTCCAACAGAAGACCTGTGGCCCGGCGTCACATCATACCCCGACTTCAAATCTTCGTTCCCCAAGTGGCAGCGAGATTATCAACAGCCGCTCTCTCCTAATCTCGATGACAAGGGCCTGGACTTGCTCGAGATGATGCTGGTTTACGACCCTGCAGGAAGAATTTCGGCCAAGCAAGCGTGCAACCACCCATATTTTGAGGACTACGTGCCTACTCCAGGATCGACGACAACACCGGCAACAGCCCCAACAGCAGGTCGCGGTAACAGTTACTTCCACTAGATGGGCGGAGTACCTCCATACATGTGATGCTCTGTCTGGTATTGGCTCTTGGGATGATGACGTGGACGCTGATATCATTTGCCATTTTACTGGTTTCAGGATACTGCTACATCATCAGGAGACCGCTATAGGTTGAGAGCGGTGTGCGTAAAAAAGCAACAACGTATTTTGACATTTTTAACATGGCCTGTCTGAAACATGGCGGAGTATGCTGCTCAAGAGCTGAGCCGCTTCTGCCGCGTTCAGCATTTGCCGACACCCGATATCGTCTACCCATCTATGTCCAGTATTGCTGTGTATAGGCACCAGAGGCGGGGAGAGGCAAATGCGTTGAGGGAGAGCAGAGACAAGTGACGTGGTGTATGCACATGCTTCATCGTGCTACTCGGAGAGCTGTTGAAGCGAATAAGCACGCTACACGTGGTTTACGAATCGGGGAAATATGGACACAAGGACTGGGCTCATTCTAAGCAAACTAATATTTTTTTGTGTGTTTTCATGTACAGCATATGCAAGGGACAATGCCAAGGTTTTTCTTTTTGGGGGGGAATGGGTAACAACTAGTATGAGGATAACAGTAGATGACATGAATGATGGAAAATGACTTATAAAGAATGCACGATGCGGGAATCTGACCGACTGTTGTTGAATCTATGCCCTTTGATGATGATGATGATGCCTGCTCTCTGCTGGCTGGCCATGCGAGATACAGCTGGCTTATGTGGCGTGTCTATCAATTGGGAGATTCGGATCATGCCATTGCAACAAGCGGTGAAAGCCATGTAAATACCTTGCTTTACAATTTGATCTTGGATATGTGCAGATCACGGATGTTGTCTTTCAATGGGATCTTGAAAGTGTTATCCTCATACTTTCCCATGGATTAGATGCAAGGGGGTTGGGTTGGGGCTTTGAACATCTAGCAAGAGCATATTGGAAAGAAATTGGAGAGGTGTGCAGTACGAGAATGCCAGTTCATCGGAGATTTGTTTAGTTCTCGGTTTGCTGGGAATATGTGCCGTACTTGGACGTCTGGGGTGCTCGCGTCTCTCCATGACGTGTGTGGGATAGGTAGATGCTGGTGGGATGTTTTGGTGAGGCTGCGTTTTCTGGGGTCTGGCTTGCGTCTTGGACGGTGGGTTTGTTTGTTTTAGGTCTAAGTAGGTATGACTTCTGTTACTTCTGTTACTTCTGTTACTTCTGTTACTTCTGTTACTTCTGTTACTTCTGTTACTTCTGTTACTTCTGTTACCCACTTCTGTTACTTCTCGTTGCCAAGTGAATATTAGCTATTTACATCTGTAACTGTAACCAAGTCAAAATAACTGACAACAACGTTAATAACAACTCTACCAATTCTTCTAGGAAGCAACGCTAGGCGATGCACTCCTGTTCTGCGCTCGTTTTCGAGGAACAACACAGATCTTACACCCGTAGCTGAGCGCCAATCGGAGTCTGGGGCGACTCTGGACCGTCCACGTCCAAACGATCCTCTCCTCTCCATTGAGCAGAAACGCTACAAAAGCTCGGACAGCTGTTAATAGAACGTTATTCCAGGATCTGAAGCTGATTCGTCGCCGACCGTGCTGCTGGCAATGTCGATAGTCAAATTTGTCACCAAAGGAGCCGGGGCTACGCCGCTCCGTGGTGACAAATTCTTCAAGTTTCGATAAAGTACTGTCCTGTAGATGCTAAAAATAGACAGATACCAACTTCCAACTGCTGGTCCATCTACGACATGCATGTTGGCTGTCTACCCAACGGATCTCGTCAGGGCCCTACGCACACCGCGCAGCCTAGCATCGTTCCTACACGCGGAGAAGGCCGAGAGATGACAGGGAAACATGCGTACTCGACTCAGCCATCTGTTTCCAAAATTTGCTCTACACTTGCACTACCAAACGCCTTTGACCTAATACAAGCGCTTGTAGGAGTTTTGTTGGACACAACAGGACGGCAATGACAATGCGGCTCAATGATTGGTCACGTAGGCGCAAACCGCACGTAAGCGCCCAAGCAAGTACCCGCAGAAAGCAGGGACCGCATCCAGGTCCAGTCAATGGGAAACACTGCAGCAGTTTTTTGCCCATGTTGTCCCCAAGTACGGCGTGTTACATGTCAAAGCTCACCGGAAACATCAGTAGCCGCCCATGGTGGGGAAGTTTCGGCATGAATTAAGGATCGATCCGAAAGAAACGCGATGCTACGGCGGCAAAAGACCGAAGACGAGGCGGCTGGATGCAACGCGGAAGAGGGAGGCGCCGTATTTGTTTCTACGTCTGCCTTGTACAACGGTTAATTATTACCACCTCGTATAATGCCCCGGTCTAACAGGAGCTACATGTTTGTCTGTGAGCCAATGGATGGGATTGAATGGGCCGCGGCTGTTGGTGCAACGTCTTATCCGAGCGGCTGAATGAGTGGAGAGAAGGACAGAGGAGGGTGAGATGGCTCGAGGAAGATTCCGAATGAAGAGAAGGGACCCCAATGCTACTCTGCCACGGGTCGACTTAAATTAAGGGAAAAGGCTCGGTGAGTTTGACGACGATGAATAAGGCAGGTTTTAGTTTCTCTTTGGGGGGTGTGAGAGGCTGTGTTGCATGAGAAGCTCGGCGGGATCACTGCCGTGATACCACCTTGGCAGTGCCGAGGCCCAGAGAGGCATGTGCAAACGTCGAGATGATAGTTGCAGATGTAGAACTTGAACAACAAAACGAAAGCATGTGTGTGCTAAAGAAAGAAAACAATGATGATGGTGATGCAGTATGTCACTGTCGGCTTGGACGACTTCCTACCGGTCTAAAGAACGACCGACTGCTACTTTATGGTATTTCTCCGAGACATGCATAGGGGGCTGAGAGGTGCTGGGCTGGATGGACCGTCTAATGCCTCAGCTCGCTGGATGGTCCAGGAGAGCCCGTTGGCGGTTCGCGTCGGTGATGGATCCGGTGCTACTACTCTAAGAACGGTCGGTCCTTTTTTTTTTTTTTTTTTTTTTTGGGTGAAGTTTTACGAAGCCATGATACGGGTTGAGGGATAGGCCAAGGGGTGAGAGAGAAGGTGGTAGTTGTGGGACAGAAAAACAGGGACCGTGAAATGTATACGTGCGTACAAAACTACAATATGAGCATCCATAACATAAATTAATTATTTAGCTTTTTGTATGCATAATCTTGGCTTGTATGCTTCAACTTCTCACATTCCCTGTCTTTCTGTCCCCATCTTGGGAGGGTGCAAGTGAGTCTGTGCGCAGGTGTTGTATGCGTGGTGGGATGGACCGGATATGCCGAATGACTGGGAGTTGTGCTATTCAGCCCATCGCTTGTATCGTCATTTTCTAAAAGCGAATCATGTACATGACAAGGCCACCGTCTGGCTGCCTGAATAGATGAGCAGCAGGCTGTGTTTGTGGGATCATGATGAGCGATGCTGCCTTGCGTGAATGGGCTCGTCCAGCCAAGCCCAAGCTTGATGACCGAGTACTGAGACATTGGGACACATGAGGCCTGGGCCTCGCGAATGGGAGATGAGAAGCTAGGAGGGACTTGGAAAGAGGATTATACATTGTAACATTACTACCTAGCAGGTATTACTGGTTGCATCGCATTGCAGAGCATGAAGATATTTCCATGCCCAAGGCGTGGGATTAAGCAAGTGTCCCAGTAATTAGGTTAGGTGGTTTTTTGATAATACGTAAAACCCAAGTTTTGATACTCGCTACTGCTGCTACACCATGGCACGTACATATTTGCTCTTTCGCTATTCCTTTCTGAATGAGATGGTGGAGATGCACATGACCGTTTGCCTTTCCTTGGAATGTGGTTGGAGAAGAGGATGAAAGAGAAGGAAAGAAAAAGCCGCTTTAGCACTGCGTATCTTACCCCAACATTGCAAAGTCCCTGCAAGCACCTCGAATACCTACCTACATGTATGTATGTATGTGGTCCCCAAGATAGTCATGATCAGCCAACCATGTGTCTTCATCACCTCAAAGACACTCATCCTGTGACCCGACAAGAGCCACAGCCGTCATACAAACACAACTCGTGCAAGCACAAAAAAAAAAGGTTTGGGTAAGGGAGGGTTGCAGTGCGAGTGAGACGATATGACGAGAGGAGACGATGCCTGTTTTGGGGAGGAATCACTTGACGAGGCTTGTGACAGGGTCTCTTGTTGCTTGTCCTTTTTTTTTTTTTTTTTTTTTTTTACGCGCATGAGGGGGGAAATTAGATGTTGCATTTGGACGACAATGAAGTTGAGATTTTGAGTTTGCTAGACTTCCCTTGTTTATCTGGCCGGGTGCCTTGCTATCATGGACTTTGAATTTATACTTTCGGCCGTTTTCCCGTTTAGTTGGTGCGCCGGTCCATCTTTCAACGGTTTTTTTTCTTGTTTCTTTGTTGGCGTGGCTAGCCTATTGTTCTGCGGCGTGGGAAACTAGGTACTAGTGGCAGTCTGCCATTTGCCGTTCTGATGCTCCGCGGATGTGACTACTACTGCTTGTATACTCTAGGCCCTTTTTTTGCGTGATTGTTAAGGTTTTCGACTTTTGCCAACGAGGCTTAGCTGATCTGCTGCGTACCTGACTCTTTCTTTTTGTTGAGTCAAATTGATAAGATATGAATGAATGGATGCATGAATGGGGTAATGCTTGCGCTAGAAGAGAGGGCCGGCTGTGCGATTTTGGGATGAGTCGTAGTAAAAGTTGCCTACCCTGATAGAGAGGCCCGTATACTGCATTGTAAGGTACCTTGTGCAAGTACCTAATTACGCCTCTGACTCTTTTCCTCGGCGCGAGGCGAAAATTACGTGGTTTCCCGGACTCGCGGCCGGCCAGCCACACTCAACGCCGCGTCAGCCACAGCTCGGCATGGGGTCGACCACATTTATACACCACTCGTATGTACCTTTGTACATTACACTAAAAGTACGAGGTGACATCGCGTTGGGCTCAATCAGCGGTGCCAAAGTGCGCCATCGTCGGTCTCAGGCCGCACGGG